TAGGTTTTTCCCCAAATTCAAAGGACTTTTTTTTCTCATTAATCCTTCGGAAAGATTCCCCTGGGGCATGCGAGTGCAGAATTGAGGGGAGAGACACCGAGTGGACAAAAAGAAAATACATCCGTCGATCCGTAAGATCCTGTTCTCGTCGTCCTCGAGGAAGGTGAGATGGCCACGCGATCCGGTGTTATTCTATATATATATATAATTATTGTGTGATATCTTGGAGTAATGTTAATTGCTGTTAATCAACAAACCTGACGGCAGTCCCCAACAAATCGTCCTTTGCTCAGGGACAGGAAGGTATCCGTCAAAATTGAATTAGTGAATCATCGTGGTGTAATTATTTGCGCAATTATTTTTTGGGCGAATACACGTTCAATACTTTGAACTATCAAAAGATTTTTTCATTTGGATGATAATGCAAAGCTCATGAAGTCGATCCACGAATCCCCCCAAAAAATACCGCGCAACAGCCGATTCCCCGAGAAATCAAAATCCCCGCAATATCCGAAAATTCCCAACAAGCCACAATGACGCAGTATCACCTGGAGGATCAGTGGCCGCACGTCACAATGGTTACGCCAAATCGTCCATCTCACGGCGGGCACGAGCCCCTCGGACTGCATACCCCCAGTGATACCGATCGCCTCGACGAAACTATTGTTGCGCATTCACTTCTCTCCGGTAAACCTTTTTCGGTCCTCCCCAGCATAATGCAATTATAGGACACCCACCCGTGCATTTGGTCAACAACAATAAAACACCAATTCCACTCGAATTTGAACCCTTTCCTTTCCAAGGATGAAAATCCCTCGCATCACCTTGCCTCCAGGCGCCCATGAGAACAGAAAAATCGGTGAAAGGACTTATTTTTCCCGGGATTGGGTAACCCCAGTTTACGCATCATTCCATAGACAGTTACCAATGAAAATTGATATGCATACGATGGAGGGAACGCCCGCAATGCTTTAAAAGATTATTCATTCAATGTCACAAGCCCTTCATATCCACAAACGAATTTTTGGTCTGTTGTTCATCTAAACAATTATTTCATTTCGAATAAACAGAAAAATCAAGTTTAATTTCAAATAGATTCATTTGTTCAATTCAAATGAAAAATTTCTATGGGCGCAGCACGTCACATTCATTGTTTTCCCTTTAACTGAAGGCTGATAAACGATCTTCATCTAAAACGAATATGAGTCCATTAATTTCAAGCGAAAGTTTCCTTTCAACATCACCAGCGAGGATGCAATTTTCTCGCAAACTCGATTAAAAATGTGTAATTAAAAGTTGTTGCTCTCCAAGTGTAGTTTGAGTTGAGCGAGATAATGCACTTGTGCGATAACTAACTTCTTCACTTCAGTCTGCAACTCCTTTCCACGGGGAGAACGATAAATTACGGGAGAAGGAGACCGCGCCCAGGGTACTTGCATATGGTGATCTCCGATAGATACTGATCGCTAGACTTCGCATACATCTCGGGGACGAAAAAATATTTCTTCTTGAAATTTTTTATCGTTGAGAAGATGAATATAAGAGGAATTAAAAAAAGTTGCAGGATTTTTGAGGAATTTTTATGTACCCTACACCGAAGAATTTCTAGAAAAAATGTGGATTTATGCGAATGTTATTAGTCAGTGATATCACCCCTAAAAGAAGGTATGCTTTATCGTAACGCCGATTGTCAGCATCCTTATCAAAACCTATAGACGATGATCCCTGGAAGGCGAACGATGGCTGTTCATCCTTCACTCTGTTAATCCCGTAAGCTCGAGTCTTTTATATCGTAACTGTAGCCCATTATCACAGCGGCCGGAGCTAATTGAGATAAGAGAGGGGTCAGGCGAGATTCACAACTGCCGATCGGAGTGCAGCAAAAACCCTCCTCACCTATTTAATGGTTAGAACTTATACTCTCAGAATGCCTATCGCAGCGATATTCTGCTAGGGTTGTGACACGAATACTAAATTATTTTTAGAATTAGTGAAGCTTCACCATTTTTTTAAATTGCAATTTACGAAGCCATCAATACTCAGCCAGATGCCGAGCTTATCTACCAGCTGAAATATGTGGTGGAGCAGTCATAGCCACTGTATCCGGTCGTGAATTTTATTTCAACCACAGTTGCGCCCGTCAATTTAATGAGAAAAACTGAAGAAAACGCGACGACGCGTGGCAGACAAGCTCTGCATCTGCGCGCGTCGAGTTTATTAACCATTTGCGAAGGAAAAAGAATCCAGTCAGCTGGGTACAATTAGAAAAATCATCCTAGCAGCTGTAGCGGGGCACAGGTTACAAGCGTATATGCATGCATGCAATGCGGTGTCATCCCGTTGAAACCTGTTGGATCCGCCGATCACTTTCATTTTCCTTCGTCATCAATAGCCCTTGACAATTGACATTTTTTCCTATTTCTACAGGCCGTAGAGTAAAACGGGAGTAACATCGGAAAAATATAAAATCTCTTGTGAAGGTAAAAATTGGTCGGTGCTGATGAAAAGAATGCAATTGGCTCCTGCAGAGAGTTTAAGCATGCAAAGATGTGGACTTCCTTGCCCATGGCGATGGCATGAAGGTGATGCAGTTGCCGGTACACTCGAAAAGTACCGGATAAATACAGACAATGATTATCTCGCTGCAGTTGCCCCCTGAGAATCATCATCAATTCGAGAAAACCTCATGCAAATATACATTAATAACTTTAAATACCGCATAAAGATGATTCTCAAGCCAACAACAGTAATTTCATTCCTTAATAATGAAATTAACGACAGTTAAACCTCGAAATTTTTGACATTCCGATAATAACGGAATGAATTACAGAAACTCAATGACAGCGGCTGATTGCTCAATCAACTTGGCACTCGATCAAGACAACCTGTTTTTCATTCGCTCACTTGACTTATTGGAATTGGAGAAACAACTTTTTGCGTATCGCGCGGAGTGTTCCATTTCGATTTGTCATTTTCATTTTTTCTGGTATTGTCGGAATTCTTTGAATTAACTGCTGCACCCTTCTTGGTCTTTATTTCCGTTCGGCAGGAAGTACTCGATTTCTTTGACAATATAACAAGATTATTGAGTTTCGAGTCAATTCGAGTTGAACCAATCTCTGTTATATCAAATAGTTTATTCCTTTAAAAAATGTTATTTTGTGGGAAATTTTTTAAAAATGCGTCTACATCTAAACAAGCTGGGGATAAAAAAGCGACCGTGATAAATTCGCCAAAATAACTTTTTCCCAAGCACTCACATTGTTACAGAAGTGCGTAAAGTCGAGTGGATGTACTCCCGGCGAGTGTGTGAACACAGCGGTTGCCGCATCCCTCATACCCATCAAAAAGTGCGGTAACTTTTCTAGAGCACTCGATAAATGTTCCATCATCGAGGGCTCAGGGGGGTATCGAGCATGTTTTTGAAATCACAGTAACAGTTTTCGTCGACAAAAAAATGACGAAAAAATCTCGTGGAAGTGATTTTTCATCGAAAACCCCAGGGAATTATGCGATTGATACTTTTATACTTTTGTTCTTCTCTTTTGTTTTCAATACACGTGTTATTTTTTACATTGAACCACTCAGTGTTAGAGATCAAGTCTGAAAACACGACGGGGAACGCTTTATTTTCCGGAGTCAAAGGAACTTTGTGTCCCACTGTTTGAACAAATTTGATTTTATCGATGTGCTCAGAGGTAATGCAAGTTTTGGAGTTTGTTACCGGTTTTCAACGGTTTTATTTTTTATTCTCCTTGACATAACAACAACTTTATTTGTATAAATCCATTTATTGGATGCAAATAAAGTTTCTTCATTTGAAATAATTTATTTCTCTGGGTCGGAATATACGATTCACTATTCATCTCCTGAAATTTTGTATTTTTAAATGACATAATATTTGAATTTATTCATCCTTCGATAAAACCCAAAAATTTCCCAGATTAGTATCATATATCAGCCAGACGTCCTCACTGCCCAAAAAACACCGATTGAAATTGTTCACACCACTGGAAATTATCGATAATAGAATGGATTACGAGCATTTAGGGTAGTTCTCATTCATCGTATGCAGACAAGTGACCCAAAGAAACATACAGACACTCAAAGATCACACTTGAACCCCCGGTGAGTTCACAAATCTCTTGAAAAAAAAAAAAACTACGAATGTATATTATGCATCCCTCAACCGATATTTTGAGGACAATCGAGACCTTGGAAGACGTGCAAGGACATACACTGGGGGCATGAGGTAGGTTATACGGGCTATTTGAAGCCTCGAGTGCCTTCTTAAGGCTGTTTTTCGCATGTATACTTGGTGCACAATGTAACATTACCATCCGTTCTCATTGTTACCCTTTTGTAACTTATTTGAGAGGCTTTTTATGGGCATGAGGGACAAAAGAAAATACTATTTCATATATTTACTTGAGAATTTTCGTAGCTGAAGACGAAATTAATTGCAATTAAAGTGATCTCAAGACAATTCCATGGAAATGCAATACTTGTTATTCATTTTTTTCTCATTAAACTTGAGTGGAATATATATTTCATTCAGCTATGCACATCAGATGAATATTTTTTCAATAAAAAAAATTGTTATCCTTTCTCCAAACTAATTATTTTATGAATTTCATTTTCGCTTAAAAAAATACCAAGTAATTAAATACTTCGATTAAAAAATCAAACAATAATGTCTTCCTTGAAAATACATTCTTTCCCCAACAGAAGTTTGGGTTTCGGTTCACATAAATGCACAGCGGGAGGGCCCCTTTGAAATTCACAACTCAAGAGATTCGCTACTTGATACGAGTGCTACAGCGAGGGATATAATAGTAACATAAGTTTTTTCAGCGCTTCAAATCGCTCTAACCTCAGTTGAACCCCCTATTCTTTTCATTATATCACATCACTATTTCAGTTTGGAAAAAATGATTGGATTCTATAATTTGTAGATCACTGGTGATTTTACGAAATTTTTATCTTTCAGAAATTAAATGATGGAGAAAACACCCCCTCAAGATAATAAACGCGTGATAAATATTCCCGTGACAAGCATATCCGTGAATAGGTGAGTAAATAAAATAAACGGTCCCCATTACTGAAATAATGGTGGATGAATTCCACAGGAAACCGTTGATAGATCGACTGGAAAATTTAGTGCTCGTGGTAATCAGGCAAATAACAACTGGACAATTGCCAAAAATTGATAATTTATGTTCAAACACAATGCCCGAGGAATCGGTGGAATGCGATGGTGACAATGGAGACGATTTGAGTGATGTGACAGCTACCTACACTGAGGAAATCCATTCAGGTGAAATCGGGGAGGATGGAGGGATCAATCAAGAGGGAAGATGTGTAGTAGATTTTTCACACAAGAGGGGGAAAATCAAGTTGGCACTTATGATGACAGTTGCCGCCAAAGCCCATAAGTTACTCATTGCTGACGAATACCAGACTAAAAGGTCTATGTATTATGAGCTCAAGGGTGGTCCTCTTGGGAGGTTTATCGATCAACAGAGCATTACTGATGGGACTATTAATAATGTGGCTAAAATGCTGGAGTGCAACACTTGGGAGTTAGGTCCGTGGGTTTTCATAGACGAAAAAAATTCATTGGACAAAAAAACTTGGAAAATTTTAGCTGAAGAATTTCTATAGAAAAGAAGTTAATAATAGAAAAATTAATTTGGTCCCAGGTTTCATCACAACCGCGAAAGGACTCGTATCAGGCGATTTGCAACTCACCCTCCAAACAGGAGAGACTCTTAATTGCGAAACACCTGGAGGCGTCTTGATACCACAAATCAACCCTCCCATAGCCTCGCTTAAATCAAGTGCCTCGTCGATAATTGTCATTGAGAAGGACGCTGTTTTTCAGAGATTACTCGAAGAGGACTGCACTCACAAGATGAACTGTATTCTCGTTACTGGGAAGGGATATCCCGATGCAGCGACGAGAAAATTCGTCAAGATGCTGATCGAATGCCTGGCGATTCAGGCGTATATTCTGGTTGACGCCGACCCTCATGGGATCGATATCATGTGTGTGTACAAGTGAGTTTGAAGGAATCCTTTTTCTCAATCAAGAACTGGAACGAATCATCTTTTTTATATTCAAATCATTATAAACAAAAATATTAGTGAAATTCATTAAATTCTTACCACTGTATTTTTTGCCTTTTAAAATGAATGAGCCTTATTCAAATAATATAAATGTATTTATTCAAATAGCTTGTAATGGCATACTTTAACATCGCCACAATGTTTTACAATAAAATGATTACGGTTTTGAAAAAAATACAAAATTTTCAAATGAACAATTTTATTTAATCATCATTTCTCAAGGTATGATAATACTTTAAATTCCATAGAATTTTATGGCATTTTATGTGCCAAATTTTCCGTCAAAAAGCCAATTAGTTTCTGTTTTGCTTCTAGATATGGATCTTCGGCGCTGTCATGGGAGAATAAAAAGCTTGCCTGCCCGACAATTAAGTGGATCGGCATCTACCCATCGGAAGTAACAAAATTAAGACTGCAAAAAATACCACTGACCGATGCGGATCTGATCAAGCTAAGGGGTCTCAAACGAAGAAGGTATTTGGACAATCATTTACGAGAGGAACTAAACTATTTGTATAACGGAAAAGCTGAGATCGAGGAGATAGCAGAAATTTCATTGTCTTTCCTAACGTCTCTTTATTTTCCAACAAAAATGTAGAGAGTTTAACTTCTCGTATAATCATTTCGCCGTGTTAAAGCGATTCAATTCCTGCATCATTTAGCTCTCGTCGTCATGTTGACAATCCATCTGAAATGATTATCATTATTTGAGTCACAGAATTATCATCGTATTCTTAATGGAATAACCGACGTTAAATATCGATTCTAGGATTTGACACTGAATAAATACTTTTTCCACTTTGAATTGGAAATTCGGTTTGAATTTTTCAATCAGCACGATATGTTGGGGCTCCTCTTGGTTATTTTCTAGATCAATAAATCGAGGGATCTTGCGATATGCTCCGAGGTAGATAACATTGGGGTCTGGGGCAGCTTTTTTGGAGACGTGTTTGTTACCATTGAATAGTAGGGAAGGCTGATGAGAGGTCTTTGAGCGAGTTGCGTAGGGATGTTCATGGTTTCTGAATAAAAAAAAATATGACATGAAAAATAAATAATCGTTATTGCGAATTAGCACAGCAATAACGATCCTGCATCTGCGAATTACATTACTTGATGTATTTGTCCGGCTTGGGTGACTCTTTGGATAAATGGGATCTGGTGGGGAACCTCTTCCCCTGTCGAGAGAGACTGAATTCTTGGAACTGTTTTTTCTTTCGTCTCAAGTAGTATCGACTCATTTTAGTTTTCCTCAATAACTTTTCAATTTTTTTGTATTTGATTATCAAAATTGAAACTTTGATGGGTTTTTGTTCAAATCGGCACATCTAGCGCCATCTTCAGTCCCTCGACCCATTAGAATTTCCTATGTTGTCTACGTTGGGTATATGGTATGTTCCAACCACATATCATCCAATGATTTAACTGTGAAATTTAAAGATTTTCCGCGGGGGAAAATGCAATGGGAAATGATTGCAATCCAAGTCATAAATATATGGATTCCATTCAAAATATACTCAACTATACAATTGACTCCATTGATAATTCATCATTTGATTGCATATCTTTATTTTGATTCATTATTGTACACTATACAGGTTCTTTAAATGTTTAATCTCCATATATTTTCATGTATTCGTCAATTCACGAATGTGAGTTTAAAACTCTAAACTTTTACTTGGAAAATGGCAGTAGTGCTCAAACGTATAATAAGACCCAAAAAGATAGTGGCAGTTTAGATCGAGCTACTTATTCAAAATTCACTTCGTATTGGAATTCCCCATTTAGTCTTAGAATCAACGCTCAATGCCTAGTGCATGTGTCACTGCTCCTGCCAATATCACATCAACCAATGTCCATTCAAAAGAATTGGTTCGAAACACTTGATTATTATTCGAGATGTATTATTTGTCTTATGGGAGTGTCTCATTTTCACTCTTGAATATTATTCCCAGAGCCTTGTCATTTTGCTCTTGCTTCATCTGCGCGATTTTTTGGGTCTCAGCACTATCATCGACAAAGCCCACTGAGACGTTGCCCTAATACTCCAATTACAAAACAAAGTGATGAATAAAACAGAACAGTAAACTGAATTTTCAAAATTTTGATTTAATATTTTCTTTCTTCTTCTATATATCAAGTCTCTTAATGCGACATTTACAATCCACTAGATAGGATTCTGCACTGAAAATTTGATAAATTCATGCCAGTTTCATACTATGCATTGCTCTCAATCACTAAAGATAATTTCTCACTTACAATAACAATTCTTTTCATACATATTTTTTTTCACTAAAATCACCGAAGACGAAATTCAACAATTCGGGGATTAATTTTTTATTGTTTTTTCATTTTTATCAATTCATTTCTTTCCTCATAAGCGTAATAGTTCATTGAATCACCTAAATATATCGATTTGTATATATATATATAATAAACTACGGTGAATGCATAAAAAATAATAGTTGCATCGGATTCGTGTGGGGTAGTGCGCTAGTTTCGATTTCGTTCATTATTGAATTTGACTTCGAGAGGTATATTTCTTTAATATGATTATTATAAAAAGCTAACTTAGTCTTGTGAACTACACTGAACAATAAGACTGATGAATGGAAGATACAGTTTTTTTTTTGTTTCATGAGTTTTTTCATTCTTCGGTTTTTCCACGATTCCAAGCGACTGTCGTTGGCCAATAAGTGAGAGATAAATGGTCCCTGTGATAAATTTATATTTATTATTCAAAATAAAGTGCTCCGAAAGGATATGGGCCCGGTAAAAATCAGGTTTTCATAGTGTAATCCTAATGCAGAGCTGGGCCGAATATTACTCAATTTTTTAAATTGCAGTACTCACGACTATTTTTCATTGCGAAATAGCAATTGTATAGATTAGAAAATACAGTTTGAAGTTTATGGCAATTTCATTAATCATTCTCATAGAATCTATCTATTCCATTCAATCCTCAAGTGATATTGTATAGCATCCTGAAGACCCCTTTAATATACTATTTCCATTTAATTTTCGTGAAATATGCCCCCCAGCTCTGTCTAAATGAAGCAATATTCCTCTAGAGAGCAATTAATACACTGTTTTCTCCTAATACAACTAATTCTACGAAATTATCATCATTATAACTATTTTTTCAATACAATTTTTTTGTTTTGAAAAGAAAATTCACTTTCATTATGATGTCTCAAAGCAGGTGATACTTGGAACTTGTCGAAAAATATTTTCCCTTCGTCTCTTTGTCATCTCAAAACTGCATAAAAATCCGTTAATTTCTGCTGATACTCCTCACAAGTTTCATCTCAACATTGTTACACTGCTCTGGTGAATTATAATTTAAGGGGTAATCAGCTATGTTGCGTGGTATGTCTTGTTTTGTTTCCCATTTATTTTGTTATCAATCGGACGGAGAGTAATTACAATTTTTGTTAGCTTTCACGCTTTCATTATTGGTGTTCCTCATTTTCATTAATATTCCATCCTTTTCCTAAATTATACTGGCTTAGTTGAATAATCTTCTACACTTTTTTTATTCTCTTTCACTTTTAATTGCGAGAAGAACTTGATTTTGTCTTTGCATCTCAAAGCCTTCAGATTGAAGATTTCACGGAAAAAAAAGAACTGGATGCAATTCCGTTTGTCAAGACTTCCGGTGAATGTTTGGAAGAAATCACTGCAATGCGGCGCGAAACACTAGTCCCATCATGCATTTGAGAATTATTTATCATCTTGCCTTTTTCCGTGCTATCTCCTATTACACTGATCATTCTTATACAAAATTTTGTGGTTTAAATCCATAAAGGCTACATTCAGTTAAACTAGCACAGACATTGCCCAACCAAAACGGTTGTTAAGCTGTTATATTGGCACAAAAATGATCTTTACGGAAGACAAAAAGTTCAAAAATGGATAATAATCTATAAAATTATAACATTGAACATTGTGTTATCTCGTACACGCTAACAGATATGCATGTAGTAATATAAATTCACCCCATCTCAGCGTAATATCTTCCTTAAATTCTCGATGAAGAAATAACAAGACGAATATTTTAGAATGTCAATAATCAATACGTAATCCATTATAAATTATGTACAAAACTAAATAATTTATCAATAGCAAACAGTAATAAATAATCAATAAGTACAGTTGCGGAGGTAAAGCTGTAAAATGACTAGTCGAATAAATTCTTTTTGGTCTTGACTGAAAGTAAAATACTGTATTCATAAGACGATGATCCCTTCAGGCTCTTATTTTGTTTATTCAATTGATTAATCAATTATATTTTGAAAATTTTGCGAATGTAAAAAGGAAAGCCGTAATGCGATATTATTTCCACTTTCATGTGCCAGTGATCCTCAAGAATCTGGCAATTCTATCTTGATATCGATTTTTTCTTTCTTTCATCTTCTCAAAAATCGAAAGAATCCTCGACTTTTGTCTGGAGGGGGTGCCATTAGCATTGGCACTTGATTTTTGTGGGTGATACGTATCTGGAGGAGAAAAAATTCATTATTGTTTATGCACTGATTATTATGAATGATGAAATGAAAATTATTCATCAGAAGAATATTGAATCAATGTATCGAATGAATCGACCAGAAACTAATAGAAATCCAATGTAATTCTCAAAGGCACCCCAACGGAAATACTTTTTCCCTCAGGTAATAAAAAAATAATTACCGTGCATGGTCCTTGCATCCAAGGTTCCCCATCAATCTGCATAGGAAATCGCTTGTTCGTAGTAATAGTAACACTACTACACTGTGCCAATCGTCTCCCCGAGGCCCTCAGTCCGGTTTTGACTTGTCCCATGTGCAAACAATTCTCTAATCCAATCACCTCAATGAGATTATCCCCAATATCCTGAATAGCAACAGTGAGATCCACGGAATTGAAACTGCTGGTGCTGAGTTCTTTGTCAGGACGTTTCTTTCGTTTCCCAAGGCGATGTCGTGCATGATGCTCACCCCAGAGATTCGAGCCACCATGGGTAAATGGAATGTTCAAGAGTGCCACACCCTGTAGGGAAGGGCCATGTGCCAGATCCAATGGTGTTCCATCGCAAATAATCTCGAGATCCTCGTGAAGATTTTTACAGCTGGCAGCAAACTGCTCGGTCGTGGCATACTCAAAGTACCACAATTTGTTCTTCATGCGACTGTTGAATTTTTCGGGATTTTTCTCACGCTCGAGATGAAATTTAACACAAATGGCTGCATCGACACCCACCGAAAAGTAGTTGTTTATTATGTTGTAGGGGATGGAATCGTGATTCGGTTTTTTCTCCTCTTTTTGGTCAGTGACGTCAATCTGCCACCGGTCCATCATCACTGGTGTTGCTTTTTCTATTTTCTTCAGAACTTTGTGGATTGCCTCACCCTCGTAGCCACCTCCCCACCTCAAGCATCTGGCTAAATCGTTTCCTGTGCCCAGAGGAATAACGCCGATAGCTGGTTGATACTCAAATTGAACTCGATCTGGACAAAAAATGCCATTGCAAAGTGACAAGTGATTTACCCGTCATTTCGCCTTGTGTTTATGACCTTCATTGAAAATTTACTCTTCCATAAAAAAAAAAATCAATGGAAATGCCTCAATTTTTTATTAATACGAAAAAACGACACACACCCATTGTCTCCAATACCCATCCAACTGTCCCATCGCCTCCACAACAGATGACCTTGAAATTCGGAACGTCCTTGAACATCTGTAAAGCTTGCATGGGGCCACCAATGGCTAGATTATGAACTTGCCGAGGGTTCAGTATATACTGAAACTTTCTCAACATTCTCTCACCCTGTCTTCCTCCCGACTTGGGATTGATGAAGACCAAGAGTGGTGTTGTACCGGCGGCCGGAGTTATTTGGAATGACATGGCTGGCTGTTGATTCGAGGAGTTACTCGAACTGAGGAAGGCACCCTGCACACATTTCATTTTTTAGAGGCCTATAGAGGATGTTGTAATCCTCACATGCCAATGGCACGATATACATATTGTACCAACTCAATTACACATTATGCAATTTAAATTCCACATTGTATAATTGGAATCAAAATCCAGCAATTTGTACCCAAATTTCAAATGTCGAATTGCTCACAATAGGTGTAGTAAATTGTCCCATAATATTCTTAAAAATTCATAATATTATCAAATAATTTACACGTACTGAACCGATGGAAGACGTATCTTGGCCATGTTTACTGCCTCTTTTACTGTCCCTCGATAACGATCTCTGTCTGTCCAATACAACTGGACAAATAGCTGTGGGTGGAAGTATGTGTACACCGTGCTCACCGAGATTACACTCAGCCTTCACTTGGGAGACACATCTATTGTGCAACTGTAAACATTTGCCATGTGAAAACACAATGAGAATCAACTGACATTTATACGTTGCAACTTAATCTCGATCAAAGCGTGTCTTGAACCAAAAAAATTCATTCAAGTCACTATTGATTGAAAATAGAGAATCACTTGAATATTAGATCATGAAGACTACTAACAGTTAACTGGCACCAGCGACAGTGGAGTCCAGTAATACCGTTGTAACTCTTGATGGTCTTTCTGCATTTTGAGCATTTTCCATGGCAATTACCCTCCACCCAGTGGTGAACCATTGTCTGGGATGTCTTCTTACTCTTCACGTAAGTTGCTATGCATGATGCTGGGGCTCGCTGGACGCATCTTTCATGCACCGTGTACTTGCAGACTGACAGGACATTCAATGTTGGCAATTATGAACAAATAACTTCATTTGAATCAAGTCGAATGCATTTTTATTCATAAATAGTTTTTTTTTGTAATCTACAAACAAGTTTTTTCTTGATTCTAAAAAATGCGTTCTCTTCGTCTTCTAGACAATAATTTCATTTCTAACTGATAAAGTCTTGGGTGGTGACCTGGATCGAAAGAACATTTTTGTAAATTGAAAGAGCTATTTATCTACCTATAATTGAGAAAAAACGTTATTGGAATGAACAGTAACAATTCGAATGAAGTGTTTTATTCGATTAAAATTCAATTTCCCTGAGTGCACGGACTAAATCGACTTGTTACCCTCTATCCCAAAATATCATCAAGCAGTTATCAAAGTTTACTCACAAACACAGCAGAGACCCTTCTTGCCAAGTCCTACAAGCATATTTAAACAGAGATTACAGTACGCCGGTTTGCTGAAGTGCTTCAGCCTCCACAAATGATTTCCATCCTCCTTCACGTGAGAATCAAGACCTAGTAGAACCAGCAGTGGAATAGTCGTTAATCCACCTCGTTTCCATTCCTCCAGGGATACTGTTCCGTCAGCATCGTAATCAATTTCAATCATCATATCTTGGAGTATCTGCACGGGTGATAAAAAGTCCATAATAGAAATTGAATAATTAAATTTTGTGATGTGGAACATCGAGTTCTCATGAATTCTCGGGACAAACGTTATAAATGTCGTTGACTTGCTGAGACATCTCGTACGAGATTTTAACGATCTACCGAAAATTAACTGAGTTCGCATTCCACTCGGCAATTTAATTGCGGCTCGTTAATCAAGTGACGAAGTGGGGAAAACGTAAGAGTGGAGTTGGCATTTGATGAGGATTTTCGGGAGGATATCTTTAGAATTTCAGGCGGGGTTGTTATTGACTATTTGATATTGCGAAGTCATCAGCCACGCATCACCAAGTTTCATAGAAAAACTTGGCCAATTCGATAGAAAATTCTACTCGATTTCTGTTCAATTTATATTGGAAATTCTATTAGTTCTTGATGACTCTATTGAAGAATTTCGTAATTTTTCATACAATTTTTTCTATCAAAACATTTTCCGTAGGAGTTACTTGACATGAAAAAATCAAACGAACGAAATTTTTTATTCTAATTTACCATTTCTCCAGATGCATTCATACAAGCGCTTGAAAATACGACTTAATGAGCAGTATTTTCCAATTTAGTCGATGTATTCATAAAGCGAAACGAAAATTTTGAACTCGTAAAATGTTGGCTTCATGCTGCAGCAATTACAACGAGTCATCGGTATCACCCGCGCGCTCTAACTTCCAGAACATAAATTGGAAGATAATGGAGTAAGTAACTTACGGGTTTTAACTCTGATACGTCCCAACCGAGATACTCCGCGACGTTCATCATTTGGTTAACAATACAGTCCATTTCCTGAAACAGTGGAGAATAATGAAGTTGATGTGCGAGAGAGAATTTCAATTTTTTCGAGCATGAAAAGGGATTTCCATCGGGATTTTTTTTATTACTGTGGGGAGAACTCGAACGGGATAAAAAGAGCTTCCGTCAAAACGTCATCAACATTCTTTCATGCACTCTCGATTTTTTCTGCATGTATTACGAAATAGAATAAAGAAAATTAGGAGCGAAATGTTCTTCAATAAAAACTGCTTTTTTTGTGAACGATATAGTGAGAATTGTTCAGTAAAAAAAATACTTTTTTGTTTGGGAAAAATCATCCGTCTCCGTTACAGAAAAATTCCTAGACATTGAGTAATCATTCACGTTCGCTGTCGTAATTTTTTATCCAATTCCGGATGAATTCACTCGTCTCGCATTTGTTCCCTCGATGTAGAGTCAAAAAGATCCAGAACTAAATTTCACTACACGATTACTTGATTTTTTTGGTAATTTTTCCCCAAATTTTGTCTCCGTGTAGAAGTGTGCAAACTCACATTTGTATCCAGCACTCCATTACCGTCCGTGTCGTAGAGACGAAACATAACTGGAAAGTAGCAATGGGGGTTAATATATTTGAGGAGTGAAATTTGACTCGAGCTAGTTTTACAGTGCAAACGTACATTCCAATTTGTCCTCGGGTCGACCGGCTTCCAGGAGGGAGAGATAGCAGACAATATCTTTCAAGCTCACTTTGACTGAGTATACGTCGATGGTACTCTGCTTTCTGACTATGTGCCGCATTTCTGGAATTATGAAGAGAGGATATGAGCTTTTGTCTAGGACAATTTGCCTTTAGAGACAGTGTTAGGAAATTGTTCTTGAAATTTTGAGGAAAAAATTTTGAAAATAATCAAATAAATTCTCTCGTTTCAAATCATTTGAACAATTATTTAATTTTTTGCTAATTAAGTCTTTATTCCTTTAAACTGTTTATTTGAAATGAAAAAAAAACGCCAACTTAAATGTAACTTGTAACTTAAATTTCAAAAAATTCTGTCGGTTTGTGTGTTGCACATGAGAGATGCTCTCGTATGCTAGACTAATTTAGTTAGAGAGTTAGAGAGGATGAAGTTTTCGCCAGAATTGAATAACTTCAGGGGACATTATCCAGTTGAAACGTGTCCGTCGAAAATACATTTGTTCCACTGAAATTCTACGTCAGAGTTTTACTACACTGTTGGACACATTTAGGAATTAATCATGTATTTATGTGATGGGTAGGTTCAATACTCAAAATTAAGCTCAATTATACCGCAGTACTTGAGCCATTTTTTTCAATTCTGTGAAAATTAAAAATTGCTAATTTTTGAAAATTACGATATCTTTCATAAATAACTCATAAACAATGAATTTTTCATCTAGAAAATCATGCTTTCGAAATGATACGAAATTGCTGAATACTTAGAATTTTATCAGAAATACAAATGAAAAAAAGATATCAATAAAAATAATCAAACCTTCCTTCAACCGAAATCCCGAAATATTTTTTATGTCATCCATCTCAACTGGCAAGTAACTTTTGGCGATAGCTTTTCCCTCAAGCCCGCGTGCCATAAAATCACCGACAAACGTAGCCCCAATGAATATTTGTCCCCGAAAGTTCGTCCCCCCTCACCTCCGGAGTCAATAAAATATACCGCAAAAAGACGTTTACCACCCCGCGAAACACTTGTTGCGTCGCGTGCAATGAGCGTGAAACTGAACCGAAGATTTGACCGCTGCAGTCACCACGCTGTGAAATCCGTTTTACTCCCAGTGTGACGTCACACTGGCAAGTTTTTTCAAAGGGCGAAAGAGAGCGGTGATATTATTTATTTATAGAAATGTCTGACGGGAGCACGTGCTGTCCCCGAAGTACAGTCAACGTACATTGATCTTACATAAACCGATTTTTCCGAGAAAAAATCTGACGGAAAAAAATAATTCCTCATTAATGAGGCAAGTCGTTGTATTCAGCGAATAATTCTTGATCAATCATCCGGAAATAACCCAGACGATTTCGTCTGGACGATCAGAAAAACCGGATCAATTTGAGCAGACGGTTATTTACCGTCCAACGGTAAACACTGTCTGCTGACGCAGTGGAGACTTCTGGTCGGCGCTTAAATTCATCAGCTAGGGGCTGAAGCAGAATTTTCACTTCCTGGTTTCGATGCAACAAATTTAGATTTAGAAACTAAACGTCGTCCAAATGTGCACAGGACCGACCAAAATACATATTCCAATCTGAGGTGCACTGTGGATTTGACTATGCAACATGTTACGTAGAGGAATTATGATTACGCGTGGTGTGACGACATCAGAGTGCACATCTAGGTTCCCTTTGTCTCGGGATGACAGCACAATGACCTAGGCTTCTCTCTATCTTTTCCCTCTCCATTTGAACATGATCTTTTATTTACATAAAATGAATTATTTCTTTTTAGTATATAAAGACATATTTTCTTGACCCAAATAAGGACTTTATTAGTTAGAATTAGAAATGAAATGATTGTTTCAATGACAAAGAGGACGAATTTACTTAAATTTATTAATTTTTCATTTGATTTTAATGAATTTAATTTTTGAAACTCAATTTTTATCTGTGTTCAATTAATAACATTATTACTATTTAAAAATGAAATAATTTTTCAAATGAATTCATTAATAATCATTTTCCCCGTGCCCATAAAGCGAATTACAAAGAAAAGTCGCTTCAGGATTAAAGTTGAATTGGTTTTCTCCCGTGAAGAACAGATCGATTACCCCTAACACTGATGAATTGATCCTGTGTGATCGAGGAGAGTGAAACTATTGCGGGGAGCTTTTATTTTCTGTTTGCGTGCTATCAATCTCCAGTTACTCTCATGTTCATCTCTCTCTCTCTCGCTCTCTCTCGCTCTTTCTCGCCTCCGGTCATGGAAGACAACTATCGTTGCTGGACTTTTCTCGTAAGAATTTGTAAACATCAAAACTCGTCTACTCGTACGTCAATGATTGTAATCTATTGTGGTACCTCTCCGGGGATCGATTGAAGCTGCGCCGAGCTGGGGAGCTACACTTTTATGGTCTATATCACTATAATGCAGGTTTCCTGCTGAGACTTTGTCGAAAAATCGAGGGCTTCAGTTTTACCACAAGGGGAGTCTCGAGGTTTATATGCTTGTTCTTCTTTTTTTTTTTTGTTTCTCGTGTCAGCAGAAACTTTATAGTTCTCTGAGGCGGAATAAAAACCTATAGTTGACACGTACAAAATAAGACCTTTCGGGGGAGTGAAATAGCCTTTTTTCGATGACGATGAATATATTTTTTTTTCAATAGAATTTTCTATCACATTCGCTAGGTTTTTCAAAGACATTAGAGTGCTCAAAATACCTTCTAGTTTTCCATTGTTAACTAGAAGTGAATTATTGGACTTTCTCGATGAGTTCCGGGAGACTTGGCTGTGACTTGGACTGCTATCCGTGCTCTTCTTCTCGAGGACGTCGTGACAGCTGTATGACGTGTGTGCGACGGTGAGCATCGGATGCACGCTTCCTAAAATCGTATAGAAATATTTTTCTCTCAATGGTGGTAGTAGTAGTACGGGTTTTTTCTCCTGAAAATTACTGGTCGACTATCCATGAAATTTCAATTTTTCTCCAAATTTGTATATGACTATTCATGTTGACGAGTCAATACCTGTTCGCGTGCGAGCAGACGCCTCGCTGTCTGCCCTGTGATGCCCAAGAGCCTGAATTTTCTCCGTAAGTCCATGAATCTTATCCGCCAGAGACGACCCGTGGCTCTCACTAGTTGCAGTCACTAAACCAGTACTGTTAACATTCGTATTCGACGTCGTGTGTGAAGTTATGGCGGCACACGCTGTCGTCGACGATAACGCCGCCATTTCCTGAAAGAAAAATTCTTCCTCATGAAAAAATTCTCATCTCTATCGCCGAGTGGTAGATCTTTCCCCGGTGAAATGAGAGGGAAATACTCCGTTATGCGGATAAAATGTCTTTTATTTCATCAAACCACTGACACGGAATGAGCCATGGCATTTCCTCAGAATTTCGTACGCGTTATCATAAAAAAACTGGCTGCTTCATATAGATGGTAATTTTCACTTATAAAAAATTTATTATGGCATGAATTGTTATGTATTTATTCATATATTCGGAACGCGATCCAATTCTGGATTCATATCGTGGGAGATATGTCGCGAAGATTCGTATATCTTGAGCATACACTGAGAGAAAATAATGATTTAATATCGGAACACTAATTTCTTCAGCTGAATACAGTGTTTCGTATTGAATAATCAATACACCCAGAGAAATGACACATTTGAGTCGAATGAAACTTTTATATTGCATTTTTATAATCATTTCTACAATTTTTTTTTTTGTGGAAATTTATAAACTCATGTGTCCATTTCAATATAAATCTTGGAATTGCACGAAATAAATTGATAAACGATTGATATTGATCCAAAAAAGGTATTTTAATAAATTCGTTTTTTTTGACGTCCAAACAATGATTTTATTTCCAACTTGTAAAATTTTTATCTGGATCAGTGAAACATTCCTTTTTTTCAAACAATTTGATCTTGATAGAAACGCACGTAAATTCGTATATTTACTCCAATGAAAAGTTTTTAATTACATGAAATACTCATTTATATTTGATCTAAATAAAGCATTATTATATTTTCCAATGAATAAAGTCTTCGTTGTGATCGCGGAAACATTTTTTCAGGTGAAGGAAAATTATTTATTGGCTGTGAATAAAAATAAAAATAATGAGAAAGTTAACTTTTAACTGAAGCTTCATTTTTATGTTTTATTTTTTGTATACAATTAAATAAAACTTTTTGTATACAATTAAAAAAAATTAAATTTTGTATACAATTTAAATGAATTATTTCTCTGGGTGTGTAGAACTATTGAATTGCACCTGCCGTTATGGCCACCCCCAACGATCATGCCTCACAAGTCGTTCGACAGAATGTGACATGAACACCGTGGTAATCAGTCGTTACAGTTGAACGAGCAAGGTGCAGCTCGGTTCAACGTATCACAATTGCGGATGGGGTACTTACTTTGAATGCCTTGCCATCCGCATTCTTCGATCCCTTCTTGAGGAATGACAGAAATAGGTGACGTGATAATTCGTCGGGTGTGGCGACCTCGAGGTATGTGTCCAGGAACTTGCGAAAGCCCTCGTAATCGATGTCCTGGAACAGGGGAATTCCGGGTTAGCATTGTTCGCCCTGAAATTTGTTTTCACACGAGAAAAAATTTTATAGGAAAATCTATTTAATTTTTATCAGTTTGTGGCTGATTCTATTGAAGAGTCGCGCAGTTTTATTTTGTGTTTTTTTTATAGAAAATGTGCAACAAAAAATTATTCATTTTTCTTCAATAGAATGTTTATTTTCCAATGGCATACCATTGATCACCAAACAACCCACAATCATCTTCGTGACCCAACAACAAAAAAAAAACAAATGAATTTCCAGCCGCCAACTTCAGTGAAATGGGGGAATCCCAGAATTTGATTAGCGTTTAGAATGAAAAATTCAATCCCGAATGAAGAGCTTTCAATTACCCCGTCTCGTCATCTGACCAGATTAATGAGAAGGAATTGAGATGCGCACTCACATGGAGGAGGATGAAAATACTAGGCGTAACCCAGTTTCAGCATTTGTGCGGAACAGTGAACGGTTAAAAGTTTCCTCTTCGGTGACATTTATTGATGCGGGTACCTTACCCATATTGTACGCCAATACCCAGCTAGATGACGTTAATTTTTTTTCCCTTTTGCACTTGCAATTTTTCCCCTCCTTTTTCCATTAACCACGACGATAAAGTTACGACCGGTTGGTGGGGAAAAAAGGGTATGTCGCCTGAGGCGTCGTGACACACTGAGAGTATAACTGGTGGCCTTTTATGCATAGAGAGGAAAAACCCGAGTCTAGGAGCTTAATGAGGAAAATTGGAAAATTGAGGAGTGATACACAGAGGAAAGAAGTTTTAGGTGTCTTATAAAAAATCCTGGGAATGTGGAAAATTTCCATGTGGGAATGTTCTGGAAACATTTTCTTTGAAAAACAGACGTTTACAAGTGTTTTTGTCTAAAAGGATGAAACACGTCAGAACAATAATTTTTTCAAAATTAATCACTTTACCCGCAAAACGAAAAATACTTGCTCCCACGAGTTAGTGAATTTACGATGAAAAAACAATGGCCCATCAATTTTGTTCGCTCTCAATTAATGCAGATGCTCTTATCAGTCCATGGGGGGAGCGTACATTATCCGATGAAGACTCCCTTGACAACAGTTTATGTCCCCCTGGAAAAATATCTCGCTGACATTTTCACCGTGTATCGATGCCCATAAAACCATGGAAACAAAATTTATAATACTTCGGATGTCAATCTCGCCAAAATCGAAATAAAAACTCCCTCGGTGTTTATTGATCAGGGGTGATTCAATTGGTTGTACATAGTTGGAACTCTCGAGTAGTCAATTTTCATTTGGAGAGACACTTGTTAAATGCAGTTTCAATTATTGGGAGATGTTCATCAGTTTTTGCATTTATGGATGAGCATTTTTCAGACGAGGATTTTATCGAGGGTAACAAATTGGAAAAAAATTCATGTATTCATCGGACAAATTTTTAATTAACTGTATTGCACCCAATACATTTGTCAAGCACGAGAATATCAATTTCCTAGGTAAATCAATTGAATTTCTCCTGTACAACAAAACACAATGCAAAACTTTCATGTAATATTTTAACGTCACAACAAAATTTTTTCTGTAAAAGTCGGCATGACGAAGCGCTGTTGCTACAAACGCGATATAAACCCTCCATTAACGTTTTCCCAACGGAAAAAGCACAGGGCGAATGCTCAACGATCCGAGCTGAGAGACGTGACGTCATTGGTTTCGACTGACGTCATAGTTTAGTCGTCACGCGCAGCAACCCGACGAAAATCGGGTCAATGCGCACCGCATACCCCCCGCACCCGGTGTTTTTCGTCATTCCGAGCACGTCGAGGGCTGTCCCCTACGTGAAACACAATCGGTTTTCCGAATGAAAGTTGTCTTTACTCAACGACAATGAAAATGGCAGGTTTTCATCAGAGTCGAGATGTTAGAATTGGGTAAATATGCACGGAGAAAAAACTTTTACCTAAAAATTTCTACAATTTCATTTCACTGTTCCTTCCAAATCTTGTGTATCAGACTACTCACATTTTCTGATCAGGAAATTACCCAGAAACTAATTTCGCTCATTCGTTGACAGAATTGAAGAAAAAAAACTGGAGTAGACCCATTGCTTTTCCTCCAAATGAACAATTAGAATGCCAAGAATAGAGCTGGCATGCCTACCAAGGCCCTGAAGCTAAAGCCTACGTTAAACAAACGAGCCATGTAGAATGAATGTACCTCGGAGTGAATAGACATTGAGTCGATATGTGAGGGAAGAGGGTGGGCTTCAATTAAACCTCTTATTGAAGTAGCGATAGGGATGGCGAGAGTCAGCGTTTGACTCGAGTGAACCCACACCCTATTTAAACATGATAAGTGCCTACTCCCGCTACCACTTGGAATACCAGTGTATGGACACAGTCATTCCTGACTCAACTCCAGTTTGTACGAAACAGTGGAATTATGTGGAGCAGAGCATATCATAGTTTACCCTCTTCATTATGTTCTCTCCGAATGTACATTGCATTTTGGTAATTCAAATGCTCGAAACGTAATAGTCCATCGACCCGTCTTCACGTGATACTATGGTGACGTCATTGTTATCCGCCACTGCAGTGGATGGTTACCGTGGAAACAATGACGTCCAAAAAATTCCAGCTGGAGGGAATTTCGAGAGGGAAATAATGTGGTTTACCATCAAGGACAAAATGTTTTGTTCTATCTATAAAGGATGAGAATTTTTTTCAACTCGCAATCGTTTCGGAATCATGAATACAAGAAAATTAAAATCAAAGACGAGAATTACCTGGAATTTCATTCATGATATGACAACCATGAAATTATAATCGCAATCGAAATTACATTCATGAATATTAAATTCTCGTTATTCTCTTTCCCCACAATCCTCGAAGGAAGCTCGAATTTAAAAACTTTGATGAATGGGGTTCCTTTCATTCCCAACGTGACAAGAAGGGGGTGGGGGGTGAGAGCTTTACATTCTTCATAGACTTTTCAACTCGCAATAATTTAAATCATGAATCGATCGATGAAAATTATGACATCCTCCCTCCTTTCCATCTATCATCCATCTTCCTTGAGAATAGCTCCAGGCGGGAGAAATACAGGAAAATTAAAATCATAAACAAAATTGAAATCATATGCGCGGATATGAAATTCTCGTCATTCTCTTTCTTTGATATCCTCGAAGAAAGCTCGAATTCACAAACTTTGATGAATAGGATCTTCTCTCTTTCTCCCGAAAACTTGAAAAACCTGGTTACGACGTGAATACCCCGCTGAATATAGTTGGGGAAATATTGGAGTTCTGCCAAGCTCATGCATTTTTCATCCTAATCATTGATCCCATATTAGCGTTACAGCCTTGGCTTATCGCGTCACGTTTATGGATAACGGTTCACGTCAATTTCAACGAGTTTACTCTCCAAAATTTCTGGAGGATTTCCTTCATTATGTTCTCTCCGAATGTACAGTCAAATAGACGCTGAACGCTCGTAGCTTTTCCGGACTAGACTTTACGTTTGAAGATTCTCAATCATCCAATTTAACTGATAATTTTTCTCCAACTTTTCGTTCCGTCAGGCCTCTATTACACCGCCTTGGTTAAATACGACCCTTGGATAATGAGAAAATTGAAAATCAATTGTAAAAATTGTTCGGAAGAGTGCCCCGGGCTCTATCTGATCGGTTCGTATACTTCATACCTCACGCCCAAAAATTACGTTATGGTCGGCGTCAGGAGTGATGTCACGTTACTTAGCAACCGCACCCTTGAGCCAGTTACACAGCATCCTCTCTGCACGCACCACCCCAACTGACTCTTCCTCCTCATTTCTTTCGGACTCGTTCTTTGGCGTTTTTCCGAGTGCACATAATTCTTGGGTTTTCTCACACTGAGGAAAATAAATAGGTCTCGCCAATATGTATTCTACGGGAGAAAAAGCTGGTCGGAGGGAGCGAATTCATCCATTTGGGGATTTTCATGGACATTAGAACTACTTATTCATCGAGGAAATGTATAATTATGACACACAATTTCATCGAGTTACAATTCCCCTGAAATTTCGGATTCAATTCCCAATTATTATACAAAACAAATATAAATACAAGTTGAATAGAAAAAGCTAGCCCATTCGCTAAAAAATTTCCTTCATACTTCTGAACTAATCCCATTGAAAACTTTTCCTCTCTGTGGAAATTTCAATGGAATATCAATAGCTATAGAATTCCTAATAGAAAGCCGATAGAATTGAACGCTCGACAGTCAATTTTTCGTGATGAAAAATCATTTCCCCTGGAGTTATTCAGTTTTTTGGAAAATCTTCATTCCTCACGTGATTGATCCTCCCCATCAAAGCATCACCACCCAACACTCATCCCAGAACTATTCTCCCATTTCTGGACGATTTCTCATCATGACATCCGGGATGATCCCTTCGAGGACAATTTATCGTGCCCCACCGATGTTTCCCCATAATCTCGAGCGATAATCAATCAGGTCTCCACCGCATCATAAACAATGAAAGCCCGGAATTCCATTTCTAGGTTAGCTACACCAAGACAAGGGAGTGAAACAGGGAGCCATTGGATACATTTAGATCGCGCAATTTCTCTTCAAAGTCCATTGAAAATTCTAAGAATTCCGCATTTTTTCATGGATGTCCAATAGAAATTATACATAATTTTAATGGAGAAGAAATTATTTTCTCTGTGAAATTTAGCCAAAATGGAACAAACACCACCTGAGAGTTCTCAACCCCTGACGTCATGCTCGGCAATATTCCGCCTTTTTCACTCCCTCCCCTCTGGGCCGCCCTCATCATGGCGACAGTAAGCGTTATCGTCTTATAACTGCCAACGATAACAACACATCAGACGCCATGAGGTTTAACCGCTTATCGTATTTTACTCCTCTTCTTTGAGAAGTTGGTGTCAACCCCTCGCAACCGACCCGAACGGCTCATAATTTATTCTATTCCTGTTCTTTTTGGAATTCCAGGTCAACGGGTGAGAGAAAAATGGAATAAATTCATTTTCCAAAGTGGAGGATGTATTTCTCCGGGGTATTTTCGCACCGCTGACATGTCCTGACGATTTCGAGATAGTGAAGTAATCGTTCTATTCGGACGAGTGAAGAGAAACATTTTTTTTTTATTGAATTTGTGGATGAAGGAATCAGTTTGCGGATGAATGAGCTCGGAGATGGGACTGTGGGGAGATGGAAGGTCTATGGATTAACGATATCATAGGTCTTCATGAATAATCAGAGAGGTTGGAATAACAGATATATGTCCTGTAGAAGAGAGAGGTTGAGGCCAATCTCTTCATGTTGTAGAATTCCAAATGGTTCTCGAATGATATGAAATAGGAACGGGAAATGTTGGGGAAAAACGGAGATTTCAGGGACAGTTTAGTAGAAATTTCTGGAAGAGCGACACTAAATTCTATCTGAGGGGGAAAGATCACCTATAAAAAAATTCTACTGTAACAAATAGAAAGCTCTATGTGTTTTTACTGTCCGTTCATTTTCATTGACGTCCTATTCATATTCACATAGAAACATTCCTTGAAATTTCAATGAAACTGTCGCTGGACAAAAATTTTCAAACAAACATTTCCTTTGTTTCTGTCGTTTTTTTTCCTTCAAAGAGAAGAATTCTAGCCAATATAACTTTCCTCCGCCACAACAATAGGAAGTTAAATTTTATGACTCACCCCATCTGGATGATACTTGGGTAGGCCACCCGGTGTTGTATTGCTGCCACAAAACTCGGTGAGTACATCCTCAAGTTTTCGCGTTGAGTCTGAAAATTTTAATGGAAACGAATTTTATATTTCGTGGTGTGCTGTGTGCTGTGTGTGATGAATCCAGAACTGGAGATCGAAAAAGTTTATGTTTCACTCAGCATGATTTAAATAGATTCCTATGGAGGTCATTGTCCGATTATTCACGACTGACGTAATTATGCAATAGGAAGTGTATACGATATGAGGAAATGTATTTTTGGGCGGAAAGCCCTTGATTCTATATATATAAAAGTGGAGGAGTGGCGAAGGGAGAACGATACAAGAGCGAGGCTGTTCCCAAGATGGCATATTTTTATATGGATTCGATGTACTCAAAATGTTTCTCAGTCGAGAGTAGATTCCGCGTACAAAGGGGAATTAATAGTAAAAAAAAATTTAAAACGAAGAAATAAAAAAACAATGAAATTCAATAGATTTTCCTTTTTATGAATAAAAGAAAAAAATCGTAACCTCGTGGGTTATGAGTTATGCACAGAAGTGAATTTCTTATTTAAACTTACACGCAGCCAAATCCTGAAGTTGCTGAAATTCTGCTGGAGACAATTTGTCCCAGTGTAGGGTCATCCTTGATTGGTTATTATCTGCGGGTATCTCGTGGGCAGCCAACCCAATTCACCGTGATCACTGCATCTGACATCTGAAAAAGAAATTAGAAAACTTTGAGGAGGGTTGTAAGTACATCGAGGAACAAGGATACTTTTGCCGCTGAAGATGTTTTACTGTATTAGATAAATTTTGTTGAAGAAAAGTTTTCCCGTAACCGAATAACTCCAGTGGAAATGGATATTCAAGCAAGAAGTTGAAGTTTTTTCACCTAAATTACTTAGATTTTTGTTGAGATGTCAGATTTATGAAAAAACGAATGAGAAAATTCAATTAAAAAATCTGGGACACAAGTTTTCCAAGTTTTTCTGCAGTTTTATTCTTCATTCTTTTATTGCGAATTCAAAAAAACTCAACTTTTATTCACTCATTGAATTTTTCTTTTCTTTTTAGTTGTTACAATCTCAAAGTGAAACCACTGAACTCTGAATATTCTCCTAATCACAAAATCCTCATCATTAACTGAAGAACTCAACAATCGAGTGATACATTATTCGCCCGAAGAATTTCGAAGGGATTAGATTCAGTTCAGCTAGAATTCACTCAAACGTAACTAACAGAGATTTTCTGCAGAGGCGTATATACAGTTGGATCAGCACGTTACCGCTGCAATCCAATAACGTATCAGTTCTCACTCATAGTAACCGTGACTTTACAAATGCACCGGTGTAAACTTCTCCTTCCGTATGGGCAAACTTATTCGGCAATTCTGTGTTTAACAGTATCAGATGAGACATTTCATTATATTTTGGAAACTAATAATTTTCACCATACAAAAATGTATGAAGAATGTCTCAAATTAAAAACGTATTAAAAATGCGGAGAAATTTTCACATTTATTTCGTTTTCGAAACTTTCTTCTCGCGTTCCTCTCCTTTTTTTGTATTTTTGTCTCTTCTACACGTGCAAGTATCGCATTTCTCGGATTTCCCAGGCAATTCCGACTGTCCAAAATTCAAGTCGTCGGATGAATTGATTTTCTGAAGAAGAAAAAAATCTGCAATTCTGCTTTCTTAATGAATTTTTGATGAAACTAACCTCGAAGAATTCAACCCAGGCTAGATAGCTACAATGCACCACATAAGCATAACTCGTGTCGTCGAGATATTTTTTATAGCCATCACTGATTGCCTCATCGATGATTTCATGGCAAATTTCATGGGCAATGGCACACGCCTTGGACTCGATAATTTTTGCCCACTCGTCAGAAGTCACGTCATAGGGTCGCAGACTCTCGTCATCTTCTTGAGATAAAGACGATTCGCTTGAGAGGGACACTTCCGCTTCAGCGGACGCATCCATTACAATTCTTCAACTTTTGGAATAAAATGATCTAAACTTTACTGGTAATAATCATGACGTACAAGACACGTGAATATTGCTGTGCAATCTATCTCCTGTTTTCTTATTTGTTTCTCTAATGTAAATTATAATTTTCATAATGAAGGCGTGTCCACGAGTCACGCGATATAGCAGCTATCGGATGATGGTTGAACCTTTGATGTGATCATTTTTACGGACAGTTTGCACTAATTAGTTACTCATTCTGAATTCCCTCCGGATGAAGCCGAAATCTCCATCAATAGCTAATGAATTAATTTTCAAACGGAAAGAGGACGCCGGGGAATCATGAGCAGATGGTGTTCACGGTTCACCTCCTCGACTATTTTCACTATGAGCGCGTTAATTTTCTCTCGTACAACACCTTTTGCATTTACATCAAAAAAAGGACCAAACAGCTACACCATTGGAATTATCTTTGAGTGCTTGAAACTTTTGGTTCCACATTCAATCCTCGTTTTCTGAATCATTCCAAATGATCCGAGGATGAGTTACACAATCCGAGGCATAATCCTCAACGATATCTGATCCCTACCAAAGACAATTAGCCTCCGTGTCTATTGCAATAGCTTAACAATAAAATCCCAGTGCTACGACGCTGCATTAGTCTTGGACAGTGGCATATTCGCGAGCATCGAGCCAACAAAATAAACTTTTGCAGTTTATTCTCGCGAAAGAAACGTCAGGAATGTTTCACTCATGCTCTCTTGTCTACTGAAAAATGTATTAACACTTTGATTTTTGTTTATTCAGTCATTATTTGGCTATATTATTTGAGAAATATTGAGTTCTCAAATGAAACAATCGCTATCAGAGAAGTATCTTGTTGATTCAAAGAACCTTTACTTAAAATAAGAATATTTCTCAGCGTCGATGAAAAGCGGAAACTCTCCAGCAAAATAATATATAGATAAAATATCTCGGCTACTCAGGCCGCAGTGGAAACCGAATCAATACGTCCCTAACGCTTGGGCAACCACTACTTTTTCGCGACAAAGCTGACACCTGTCGGGACTTGGAGATGCTGAATCTCCCTGCGAGAATGATTCCAGGAAGTAGTAACAGCAATTCTCCGAAATTTCATCGTAATAAAACGAACTCCACCGGGAGTTTCCCGGCTCGTAACCCGATGACTTTCCACTCTCTCCACTTCCGCCTGTTCCTCTCAAGCACTCGAATTAAAAAATCGATAAATCTCACGCGGGAATAATTCTCTTCATCATTTCCGCAATTAACAATTGCAGTTGAGCAGAAAATTGAGCCACACGGGAATGAGGAAAAATTACTATTGCTTCCGAATGGAAGCTTTGTAATCGTTCAAATTTAAGTTTTAGATTTCCTGTGTTATATCAACCCATTATCCAAAAAGCCCGTATTATGTATGCATGTGACCAAGTTTTTCTTTAATTGTTCGCTAATGAATCGTTGGAATTTAATCATTTGTTATTCAAATGTAGGTATTGTTGAACCCCATTAATTGGCAGTAATTAACATTTAATTCGATGGTCCCACTTGTTTATTATTTAAAATGGTAATTTATCCCCAATTTTTTTGGTCTGCGCAGCCGAATGTTATAAACTGGAAATAAAAAGGAAATAAAGAGTATGAATAGGAACTGAAGGTATAACACCTACGCACGTAGCCAGAATTTAGGGTAAATAAATCAAAAGCCCGGCGTTTACGCACACACCGTGTGTAAATAATCATCCGTTGAAACGTACACACGGACTTGATATTTAAGAATACGCGCGAGTTGAGTGTGGAAAGGGCTGTTGTAACACCGGTGTAACGGGTGTAACGCATCGATCAACGGATCACATGAAGTTAAAGCCGAGAATGTTGAGATTACTGAGTGAAAATAGTGGCTAGTTCGGGTGTGAAGTGCAATTGCCGACGATAATGTCAGCAGATGAACACTGTTAAAATTTTTGAGCCGAAATTTCCGTTACTTTTTTTTTGGAAATTCGCAATTTCATGAAAAAATCAATAGAAACTGTGGAGTTTAGTTTACTTATCTCATCAAAATTGATAGAAATCAGAAAATTTCAGGTGAATATATTCTTGAATCATCAATTAATTTTAAATTCAGCGTAATTTGCTACTGTAAATTCATTTTTTTGTTAAAAAATTTAAGTGAATTAGGGAATTTCCATCTTTCTGCTGCTTAAAAATTTGGAATCCCATCGAAATTTCAGTGAAATTTGGAATTTTTTCCATGAAATTCTTGCATATTTAACCAAATTAATGTTTAGACCGGAGAAAAATTTCGTATAACATTCAAGCTCTTATCAGAAAAGAGACTAATTGAGTCAGTAATCACCCACCGGGCGATAAGACATTAATTCTGAAAATATTCGGTCTTCCGTATCGGAATTTAATTTTAGTTTTGGGAGTTTGATGAGATCTATTAATTAAAAAGTTCACGCCGGACTGCAGTCTGGGGAAACTACTTGACGTAATCTGTAATGAAACTCGTGAGTGGTCGATGATGTTGGAGGGTCATGTTATAAGGACGTTATAATTGCGATATTCTGAGGGTTTTTCGGGAGTGAGAATCGATATGGGAGAGGGGAGATGCTCGTAAATCGTTATCAGGGTGGGGAGAGTACTTCTGGTGGGAGAATATGTGATGCTGGTGGAAGATGTTCTGATGTTTGATTAATTTTGTTGGAGAGGATGTCAACCAACTCGTATTTTGGAACATTTGTTCAACTGGTTTTACCCAGTTCCCAGGGAAGAACAAATTTTTTTCAAGCTATCCTTTCGATTTTTTTAGCCCCTTTTGGCCGAGAATTCATGACACAAAGTTGTTCCCCTCTTTCAATATTTTTTTTGACTCGCGAGGCCTCTTAACTCAAATAAAGTTAATTTAGTCCGAATAAATAAACTTCAATCGAAATGTTATTTGAGCAAAAACTTGATTCGCTCCCCTCCCCGAAACATCTCATCCGTAAATACATATTTGGACGAAACCATTTTCTCATCCCATAAAATTCACTCACAGAAGACTAAATCCCTCACGTGCAGATACTTATTCATCCGAATTCCCCATTTAATGTCGTGCTTCGTCTCGATTTATCCCCGCAATAATAAAATCATAATCAGAGAGAATATGAAAATGATAAAAATAGTTCTACCGTAAGCCGATGGTTATTGAACGTATGTCCCGGAGTATGTGGCACATGCGCAATTTATTCAATGCTAAAAACCTAAAAATAAATGTCCAGCGGGTATATTGTGTATACCGCAATCATAATTCATCGAGGTGATTATTAAATATACACTGACACTGAGAGGCCCCATCTATTCGTTGGAGCGCGCGACTCTTCGCGCGTTTAACGCACAAATGAATTCGCCATCAACGGCGATTGCAGAACTCGAGGAAAATTACATGTATTATTTTGTCATGAATTTTTCATCGGGGATTCTAAAATGCATCGACCTCAAAATAAGCTAATGTTTGTTGAAGTTCAGAAGAAAAATGTTGGAAATTAAATTTACTTGAGAAGCCTCAGGAGTGAATATGAAATACTGAAATGTGGAAAAAACTTTGGGTCATAAATTCTCAGCCCAAAGGGGATGGAAAAATTTAAAAGATGACTTAAATAATTGTTCATTTTATAGAAACCGATCAAATAAATCAAGAACATTTGAATGGAATGAATGGCAGAGATGGAAACTGCACACATTTGCTGGATTTTTCGCTCATAAAAATCCTCCAGATTAAAGAAATTGATTGTTCAGAAATCTGCATGCACCCCAAACTGTCATTCCGTACTCCACCATGAAAACAGATTGCACGACGAATATCCACAATGAAGGAAGCCATGGAGATTGTCTATTATCAGTTTGAGTTGATTATCGTACAATGGGCTCCGAGGATCATACCCTGAAGGGTAGCTTAATTAACTGGAAGGGGTATTGAATATCGGTATCTTCCCTTGACATGCAATATAGAATGTATTATTCACTCGTCTCGCCGAGAATATACCGCCTCCCATTATTTCCGATATAAATAGTTCAAGTTATTCCACGTCTTTGTTGGATTTTCTATTGCAGAGAGAGGAGAAATACTTCTGCTTGGTGAGCATGTACCCCAGGGATGGAATATCCTGTTGAGGGAGAGTAATTGACAAATTTCGTAGAGAATGTCAAGGAATTATATCCAATTTTCGACCATTAAATTTTTCAACAAAATATTTTTTTTCATCTGAATAAAAATTTGTTGAACAATATGCGTAAAAATTATATAAATTCGTACAGACTTGGCGCAAAAAAAGAATTTTCTAATAGAATTTCAACGCGTTTGACTGCGACGCGCTCGGGCGAGGGGGATAGATGAAAATTGAAAAGAAAAATATAAAACATTGGGGGGGGGGGAGGCTCGAGACGGATTCATGAGTGTGCGGCGGGGCTCGTTACTCGGTGGGTCGTTCTAGTCACTATGGTAACGCAGCTTACACTGGCTTGACCTTGAAAAAAGCAAAGGAGACGACATCCAGTAGTCATGGAGTTCTGAGCATTTTGGTTGGTAGGCACGGACCTCGGAGATGCGTATGTGCGTGTAAACATTGGAAATGGTAATGCAAATGAAATATGAGAGAGGTTGACGCAGCTACTCTCGTTTCCCTCTATTTCTTTCATCAGTTATTCAAGACTCGGTGCGGGAAATCAGGGGGATCGGCATTTCAAACGGATTATCTGGAAACGACGGGAAAATGGGGTAAATTTTAGAGTAGATCATCTAGTTTTGCAGTTGCTGTGGAGAATTCTCAAATAAATCTGTTTAATTTTGGAAAATTGAGGAACTTTCAAACAGTATTTACTGACTCAAACTATTCTATCACTGCTTCGTAAGAACAAATACTAATGGATATTGCAATCGGAAAATAATACTCTAGCTCTGCATTTAGGATTTCATCAAGACCACCTGATTCTTAGCAGCCCTACATCCTCTCGGGGCACTTTATTTCGGACAATGAAAATCAATTTATCACGGGGACCATTTATCTCTCACTGATTGGCCCACGACAGTCCCTCGGGATCGTGGAAGAACCGAGGAATGAAAAAACTAATGAAACAGAAAAAAATGGATCTTCCATTCTTATTGTCAGGTGTAGTTCACAAGACCAAGTTAGCCTCTCTGAGAATCATCATATTGAAGGAAGGAATTGAATTGACTATTACGCTTGTCAAGAGAAAAATGAATGAATCCCCTAATTGTTGAATTTTGTCTTCGGTTATTTTGATTGAAAAAAAAAAATTAAAGTGATTGAGAACAATGCATCGAAAATCTGCAAATTTGAGGGGTGGTCTTAAACCTCAAGGATCTCATATTCAAACTTCGAACATCAATTTCCAACAGCAATATCAACATTCCAACTCGATTATCTGGAAACGATAGAATAATAGCTAAAGTACTTCACTAGATTATCCACTCTCCCTCAATCATAATTCGAGAGATGAAAAAACCACCCGCTATGATCCCCCATCAGTGGCCACCACATCTTAGGAGATAGTCCGACAAGGAATGAATATAAAAAAAAAAAGCAGCACTGTGGTTGAATCAACAACCTGTTGGAACGCCTCGCCGCTCGCACGTTAAAACGACAACGATAAGCGACGAAATGAAAAGAAAGGTGTAGTGTAACGTTGTTTTCTTATATGTGCCAAAAAAAAATGAGAGGAGATATCGCTTTCATTGCCGAACGGCAATTCTCCAATTTCCTTATTCAATTGAAACAGCAAAAAATGTAATGGGCACGCAATGTTTTTAGACCTCTCCACTCTATTTTTCTTCTCTTTTCATTGAAAAAATCAAAGACAACGATTTGGAAAAATCGAGCCGAGAAATTTCTACCGAAAATATTTCAATAAACATGTCCTCATTGAAAATTCGAAATTCGATGAAAAAAATCTTCGAGAACGACAAATTTCAGTCAAATCTCAGAAGTATCACGGTTTTCCTACTTTATTTATCAGTAGCTTGAATCATTCCAGAATCCTCAGGAAGCTCACTATCAATGGAATCGCCACAGGAAAGAGAAAAATATTTTTTCTCATCAATTTTATTCTTTTCCCTCCTCGAGTTTTATGACAAATCGTCTATCTATTGTGTGCAAATAGAAATTCTCTCCTCGATTTGTTCCGTACCAAGTTCCCGAGGTAAAATAAATCCATAATACCGTCTCTCCTCAAACTGTCTCAAGGCTGCGAAAATGTGCATGAAAAATGAGGGCTAGTCTGAGTTTTCAATAAACTGTAAACAAACTTGAGCGTCGAGTGGATCCAATAGCTGTACAGATGTCGGCGTATACACTAAACCCTCGTATATACGTTGACGCGGGGTCCGTCTGGGGCTCCCGGTCGATCGCAATAAACGTACACTGAATCCCCGTCCGCCCACTCGTGACTGTTTCTCCTTCTGCGTTACCCTTTATTTCTGTTTTTACAGTTTCTCTTTCCAAACAAACTCAACCCCTTTTTTTTCCTCAACTATTGTCACTGCCGTGTTATTGTGCTGTACCTATATTTCGTCACGTTCTGGGGCTGAAGAGAATAGAGACTATTCGGTTTACTTCGGTTTCATCCGCTATTGTAATCCAAAACCGGGGGCGCGGAGGTAATTTCCCCGGTGCTTCGGATCGTATTAGTGGTTGCCAGGTGTGAATTTCAGGGGCCCGAGGTGATTGGAAATTTTTTTAATTCAAGTCGTCCTCCGGCTGACGATTTAATGAAAAAGTTCGGGGGAATTCCCTGCGGGCCACGAAAATCCGGGAATACCGGAAATTCCATTACAACGGGAACGGAACGCATGCATTAGACATTGAAAAGGTCAAGAGTCAAGGAACCGAGCGCATGTACAATATTTGCGAGGGATGAATATACACATTTGTGAATTTTAGCTGCATTTTTTTTTCTATTTAAAACGTTTTTCTCTTCGTAGCGTTGACTTAATTAAAAAGGTATTTATTTTTATGGAATAAGGAAGAAAATGAATGTTTGAAGCTCACCATAACGGCGCCATCCCTCCGGGCACGACTTTCCCGCTTAGTTTTCACTTGTGTCAACAAGATGAAGATGTAAATCTTGTTTAATGATAAAATCCCTTATCTCAACATCACAAAAATGCGTCGGCTCACGGAGTTTGTGCGAATAATCCTCGTCAACGGAATTATTGTTTGTTCAGTCATTAATTAGTGATTTTGAGGCAATTGACGGTCTCGAGGGGAGGTTGGTTGTTTTCTCGGGGTGATGATGCAGTGGTAATGCATCGAGCGTGGATGAGAACAGCGATGATTTTGAGTGCATGAGAATTGTGGGGGAGCACTCGCGATGCGCACACGCGCCGAACGCGGAACCAACTGACGACGGTGAGAGATAACCGTGAGAAGGTACTTTCTCAATGCTGCGCGAGGTAACGCGCGCAGCATCTTCACTCTTTTCACTCCATATTTTCAGGTTTTTCGATTGTTGGGGGGGAGGTAATTCGTGGGAAGTGCTGAGAGCTTATTATTCTAAATTGTTCAATACTATTCCAGTAATTTTTCCAGTACAGCTTGAATGAGAGGAGAATTTTTTAATTTCATCGAAATTAGATGGTTTTCCATATTTTATTCACTAGTTGTAGGGTTTTTAATTGTTCTCAATTATTTATGGAGTATTTAATGTTGTGGAGGAGAGGCTTGGAAAACTTTGCGCCTTGAATTATCAGTCGAAAGGAGATGGCAAAATCAGTAGGTTGGCTCAGTAAATTTGTTCATTTTATACAAACCGGACGAAGTGAGTAGACAGTGATGTGTAGCGGATAAATCACTTTAAGGGATGTTTGAAAATACGAGGTGGTGGCGTCATCATCTCGACTCTCTTCACTCCATCTTTTCAGATTTTTCGATTGTTGGGGTTATCAAATAATCAATAAACTTGGTCATATGACACTCCTTGCATTTATCATGTCTCAAATGTCGTCATAAACTTCAATACTGAGAAAATGTAATAAAAACGCAAATATTATATAAATATTTGAAATTTATTTTTTTACACTGGAGAAAAATCACAATAGGTAAATCCGTTGGAAATAATACAAACTTATTGCACAAATCGAAATATGACGCAGAATATTAAATGCTAAAGCACTTTATGCAATAAAACTGTATATAAAGATAGTCACGATTGATTCCCTCTGCACAGGAATGAGGAACCACTTGATTCAGTGAATTGATCGCGAGTGCACAGTCTCACCCAGACATTCCATTTCCTACGTATAAATTCGCGTTGACTATTCTATAGGTCGCCCTTATCATATAATTCACAAATATTTTTCATGATTTTTTCATGAAATATAAAACACATTTTCCCCTGCTTCAGGGAGCAAGGCTGAGAGCTTTGCTGGACATCGAATCTAACACAACTGTATCACAAAATAAAGTAGACAATCGAGTATTCATTCTGGCACTCCTAGGGTGGATCTGGAGATCAACAGAATGTGGGGGACAAGTCTTCCACGTGAGCTCTCAACGAACTCATGAAATTTATCATTGTGCTGTTGAGGGCATTGTCTATTACTCGTTGTGGCAGCCACCCCTTCAGATTCGTATTCAACATCCACATGAATTTACAGCTATTCCTCTCGGTATTTTCGGGTAATCGTTGTGTTACCCAGGAGACTATTCCATTTTCTCCTCTGGAATGAAAGCAAAGGAGTATGTGAAAATTTATTAGGAGAGAACAAAATGAAAAAACAGTCTAGTGCATTCGATGGGGAATTGCATTTCTCTTGAAATTGTATCTGTTTTCCGGTTCTATTGAAAAAGTTGACACTTTTCTTTATATTATTTTATCAGACATCTATTTTAACAAACTCCACAAAATATAAATAGAATAAACGATTGGAGAATTCCCGAATTTAAAACTTTTTAATGAGCGATTCTCTGGAAATACCTGATGTAATTTTTCCGATGTGGAAATTCGGAATTAGCGGCCACTCCACTGCTGATGAAGTAATCGCCGCACTGGCCGCGATGACGTAATGTGATAAAATCTCTAGCACCAACCAGGCCTCCACCGAAGCTCTTTGTTGACTGATAAACGATATCCGTGTCCTCATCGATTGTCTGTCAAATTTAAATAGGGTAAAACGTTTGATCACACACTAGTGGAATGGAACTGATGTTTTCAATGGACCTGAATTTTTTTGGCGTCTGTCACTTCCTCGTTCCATGATGGCAGGTCCTCAACCTTCTCGAAGAGACTGTTCAGGAGTTGAGAGGCAGGCGCATTGACTATTCCCTGAATGATATTCATGATTATGCGTAAAATTGTTTAAATTGTTTTATTCAGACGGATCACTCTTGAAATTATTAATAAAATTATAGTTTATTTCATTTTTCATTGAAAACTATCAAGAGCAGTGGAAGAGCTTTATAATAATATTGAAGACTTTATAATAATTCATAATAATTTCAATGAGCTGTAAAATTGAAGAAATGACGAATGGGATTTAATCGTCAACTAAAAGTAACCGGAAATAATTATTTGAAATAGTATTTCCATTTTGTATTCGTTAAATTCTCACCTCTATACGTACAACCTTTCCATAGCTGCGGTTCAACGCAGATATAACATCCCCTTCTGGAGTCGTAGTTATCGTTTTCCAGTCATTGGATATCACCAAGTGATGAGCTTGCTCCAATAGTGTGCTTGCTTTTCTCTTATACTCATCAATCTGCAGAACAGAAGAAGAACAAAATAATATAAGACGATGAATGATGATTATATGAAGACAAAAGCAATTTCCCACGCGTTTAATTTTATAATACGCCATTAAATCTTGTCGGACGTGTTAATCTGAATAAATAAACAATCAATAAATTAATAATTTGAAATGAACAATAATACGACATGAAATCATCGACTCGCCTGTTCTGGCGTTAACGAGGGCATAACAGAAATTCTACTGGAAAAATCCTCTTCACTCCTGACGTCTCGTCTCCTGAAGGCCCTTGGCTCCTCGTCATCGGAGTGCGTCGGGGAATCCATGGGTGTAAAAAAATTGCCAACACTCTCGGCCATTCGGCTCGGAGGTCCATCGAATACGTGTCTCAGCAGTGGAGCTCGTTCAGAATCTACAGCATCTGGAAGTCGAGAGAATGAACGAAATTTATTAAAAACGAATGGATCACTTGAATGAAGAGGAATAGTAAATCGATTTACTCAGTATCCATTCTCTGGCTTGTGTTTCTTGAGGCACCACACGACTATCGAAGAACCACGTCTCGCCCCAGGCGAGAACGAACGATGTTATTATCAAAAGGGCTTGGAATCCGGGTTGAGTGACACCACTCCACTGGCAAAACAATTTTATTTAGTCATTTTATTGAGTTAAGCAAATTATTTTTCCATTCTTTGAAATTTCCTGTGCAATTTATTTTCATGAGATTGTTTGCATAACAAATATCTCAATGGAATAATTTTTACGGAAAATGATAATTCATTAATTTCTTTCTATCAAATATTTCTATTGATAAAAAATCTAGAAATCCAATATAATTTTTTATCGGTATCCCTGAGAAAAAAATTTCAAGACATTTTAAATTGTCATCTGGGCTGAAAACAACTGCAGTGCGTCAACACGTCAATCTTTCACAAAATAATAACTAGATGTCTCAGTTTATAAATTATGTTATTTTTATAGTAAAAATGTAATGTTCTGAGGATTGGATTCCGTATTAATTGATCACTCACATTGAACAGATAGACCTTGGCTCCCAGGAAGGCACTGGTAGTGGCAGTGGTGAGCTAGAAGTATTTTAACAGGTGTAAGTGAGGCAATATGGACATTTTTATTTTTAAATTTTGATGAGTCATTGAATTTCAAGTGATATGACATAGTTTTTTTTTCATTTACTGTACAATCCCTTTCCAAAAATGTCAAAAGTGTCCATTTTCCCCAATTTATTATAAAAGTAATGGCAATCGTTTTCGAGTGAACAAGCAACTTACCGCGATACTCCACCAATGGCTTATGTACAGCAGACCGTAAAACAGGAGGAGAATCGTGAATCTGCATGCTGCCATCATCTGAATATAATTTTTCGTTAAATATTGTTATAGATATCTTGTATTATAACAAACCAATAATTTTATTGTAATGACTTACGACAATATCGAATAATGATGATTGTATGTGGTAGTGCAGCACCTGCTGAACGAATGCTGTGGTGATATTCTCCCCTGCTATCTAGAATCAATGAATGAATTCTTTTATTTCTTGAATCCCATCAAGTTTTTTCTCATACCACAGAAGATATTCAGAATTATTTCTCCTGATGCAATACTATTTGGGATAATTAGCCATTTAGGGAGAAATTTTTCTTCATTTGCTCTATCTGAGTTTGAAAAAATAACAAAAAACAATTTCAAATAGTGAATGTCAAGTATTGGAAGTAACTTCCATGATTATTTTAAATAGTATTTTTTGAGAATGATAAAAAACTTGGAAATAACGGAATTGAATAGTAATTATTCCAATGAATAATGCAAATAGTATTCCCACAACTCCTCAATTACATACTGTGGTGCATATCAGCCACATGAGACAGGTGAAAAGAAGATCGAAGGTGACGAGCAGGCAGAAAAACCTCCTGACAGGGGACATCCTGCCATTGTGACGACTCCCAGCTATCAGATCCTCACTGACGATGTAATCTCTGTTGATGCTACTGATACTCCGTTGAGTATACGAACTCCTCTGCGACTGGACCGAACCACTCAGCAAGTTCTCAGCTGCCACTCGTATCTGCCTGTCCTCCTCGCTCATCATCTCGAGGAATTTTTGTTTTTATTTGTCAGGATTGATGAGTGAAGCATGGCCTGACGGAGCCTGAATTATTAAACAATGTGTTCTGAATATGGACGAAGCCAGTATTGATATTCAATGGAACTATTTGAGTAGAGATATGGAAGAGAATTAATGATGATTGAGTGTGTGGAAAAATCAAGATTTATTCATCTAAAAACAATAGAAAAATCATTTCACTCATCCAAAAACTAATGATCAACGAATTATCTCCATTGTCTGACATCTAACCTACAATAACGAGACCTTTTTTCCAGAAATTGTTCTGTCATAACAAAAAAAAAATAATGACTGAATAAAAAAAAATCAGTGTCAAAAATTTTCCAATAGACAAGAAAACATGAATGAAACATTCCTGATGCTTCTCCTCGAGAATAAACTCCAATTGTAATATACCTGTGAACAGTCGCTGGAGCTTGTCAATAATGGAGCAGTGTCATTGTCACAACTGAATTCGACCCACTGAACGCATATTCAGACACCTAGAATGACTAATGCCTGAACAATTCTCGGATTTAAGTGCTAAGAGTCAATTTCCTGAGACAATCCCCTGGTTTTCACCTATAAACACTAGCTCAGTCTTGACATGATAAACAATCAAAATCAGAATCATTTGTTCTGGTGAACTTCAACGGTCGTCCACAAGATGACGCAGAAATGAAGATATTTGGGCGGAAGACTTGAATAAACAGAGGAGTCATTTATTCGATAGAAATATACAAAATAGAATGTGGTCCACTTTACAGTAGCAATAAATTATGGTATCCGTTTTGTCTGTGGATTATTTTGTTAGCTCGATGGTCCGGAGACGGTCCTCGTCGTGGGTCTCCAGTATTGCGACTGTGCCCACGTTGAAGGGAACCCCTACGCCACCGTCGAAGACTAATCCAGCGTCGTAGCACTGGGATCTTATTGTTAAGCTATTGCAATAGGCACGGGGACTGATTGTCTTTGGTAGAGGCCAGATGTCGTTGAGAATAATGTCTCGGATTGCGTAACTCATCCTCGGATCGTCTGCAATGATTGAGAAAACGAGGATTGAATGTGAAAGTTTAAAAAATCAACAATAATAATTCCAAAGTTATGATATGATATGCAGAAGGAAAGGTGTACGAGCGGAAATTAACGCACTCATGGTGAACACCATCTCTTGATGATTCCTCGGCGTCCACTTTCCATTTGAAATTCATACATTAGCTATTGATGGAGATATTGGCTTCTTCCGGAAGAAATTCAGAGTGAGCAATTGAATCCCCAAAATCTTCAATATATTTTTGCTTCAATAAAAACTTCATCTCACTTTTCAAATCTACCAACGTGCAATATTTTTTATGAAGCTGTAAAAAATAGTTGTACCTGGTGAAAATTGAAGACTGTCATTAAAACTATTACAAATGCGATCGATTTGTTCGTCTGAGAATGTCCTATCGGGCTCAGCCACTCGTAGGAGATCACTGACCATTTGCGATGTCACACTGTTGATGGCCTTGTACCAGGAGCTGGAGCCAGTGCCAGTGCTCACGCAGAGGCCTGAACACTTAACTTTGTGAAAGTCATTTCTATCGTCGATCTTCATCTCGAGGGAACTCGTTCTCGCGGACAATGATTCCCCGATGAACACCTGAAAATCGTAAATTCATTGATTCCATTGGTAGTTATGCCTGAAGAATGTAAACAATGATAAAACAAACAATGAATATACCTCATTTAAGGCCAGCCAGGGCAGTCGACGCTCGCCGGAACTCTTGTTTACACAAAATCTGAAAGAAAATGATGAATGAGTATTTACTGATACAAAAGACTTCCCTTCAATCTTTCATTTTGATGAAATAAAACTCTTAACGTCGATTAACATCAAACTTGAGAGCCAAAAATTAATGGATAATACGAATAATAAAAATAAAGCCATACTTACTCCTCCTGTCCAGGTATCCTGGCCTTCTCATGCATATGAAACAGCGGACCCCATATTCCTTCGCCCTTCAACGTAACCCTGATCCTCGTCCTCATGACGTACTCATAATTCCCAGCCTTGAGTAGCTCAAATATCCTTGGAATATCACGTGAATACTGTTTCCCCAACATCAAATAGCCCTCCGAGGCATCGGGATCCGAATTCACCCCAAAAATGGGTTTCTCATTGCCAAAAATCTGGTTCGCCCCCAGGAGAAACGTGCCATCCCCCCCGATAGCTATCACCAGGTCAGCCCAGTCGAAGTAAGGCTTGTCGATGGTCAACCTGTTCGTCAATTTATAATCAATTTTATTCCTATTGAGAGTGTCGATCACTTGCATCTCCACTCTCTTATTCTTTCGATGACCCGCCAACATCTTGTCGTAGTCCGTTCCCCTCTCGAGCACTCGCTTTTTGAATTCATCGTCACTTATGTCACCCTCACGGATCCTCTCGAATTGGTAACGCGAGACTTTTGAAACTATTAGGACTCTCTTTGGAATGAAACTCGAGTGATTGCGAATCACCACGTGTGCTGATAGTTTTGAAGTGTTTAGGGAGGAGTGGAGGCTCAAGAGAATTCCTGAAAGAATTTCAATATTCCTTATTTGAAAATTTTTTACTCATTTCGAAGATATTTTCAGTGATGTATTCCAATGGAGATAATTAATTAATTCCAATTAATAAATTTATTCTCTGAAAAACAGACAGCAACATTTGTTCTCCGGGGGATTGAAAACGCATTTATTTATGTTTAAAAAACTCGAAATTGTGTCGAATAACGAAACAAAAACACACTCATTTATTTGGAGAAGAGGGGTGATAAAATAAACACCCGATCGTTCAAAAGATATTCAGGTAGACGCCTTAAGAATTATTGTAATTACTCACTGCCCACTTGCCGGCGAAAATTGTCCAAAACCGTCATCACCACTTGTTAGAAATTGAATCCACAGATTTATTTCTTTCTTGAACATGTGTTCGTCAGGGATTTTGGTCATTTGGAGTAGCTCCGTTGGAGATAATGGAACACCATTTTCCTTTTTTTTCATCTAAATCATTTTTTCAAGTGTATGTAGTTCGTGAGCGATAGTAACTCGGTAGTTTTGCTCATAACCTCACTCGGCGCCATCGGTTTGCACTGATTCCACTGCTCCGAAGAGCGATCAGCTGTTCTGGGTTCATTGCACGCGGAATTGAAGGGGAGGGAATTGGTGGACGAGATTTTTGGAACCTTGACCCATAAACCTGCGGAATAGTGAAAATGGGATTTTTATGCAAATTATGGAATTATGGCAAATTTTATTTTTTTGCCGATTCTATTGAAGAATTGCGCAGCTTTACTGCGCCTTTATTCTAAAGAAAATGTCCAATAGGAACGATTAAATTAAATCTTATCAAAATTTAATCATCTAAAACTTTCTAGATTTTCTAGAGCTCATGAAACGTGGAAATATCACGATAACACTGTCCAGTGGAGTCTAGGAGTCCCCCATAGAATCATAAGGAATTCCACGTTTTTCCTATAAAATATTTTTCACTGCACTTTTCACTTGAGAAAAAAAACGCGTAGAATTTCATGTTTTGAAATTTTTGATGTTCATCAAGTGAAGTAATTACACCCAAAAAATTCTCTGAAATAATGAACAGAATAAATTACACTGTCGATATATTCATCATCCACTCACCTCGTCCTTCATTTTTCAAGCAAACATACTCGAATATCTCATGACACTTGCACCAAAATTCCTCAATTTACGTTCGTTTCTCTTTATTTATTCATTTCAATGTTCGTAATACATTAAGTCTGGGTTTAAATAGCATTCGTGAGTTGAAACTATTTTAAATATATCATATATCTGTTTGTCATCATTTTCATTTTATTTATTCCTTTCGTAAGCTCACATTTATACTATATAGACAATAATAAGTTTACGAGTGTTCCTAGGTTCTCTTACTCATCTCGTCTCATGTCTCATGTCATCATTACTTCATCTATATTTTCAACGATATCGATCAATCGGTGACAATCGTCATTGTCCGCCCAATTGAAAATCCTATTACAATTAGTTGATAATACTATGTATATATTTATACCATATCAAACGGTTTATCAACTAAACTCTCTCCTCTCTCTACTCTCGTATAAAAAGCGGGAAGGGGTCATTTTTACTCTCACACTGTTCGATTTTTTTCAACGAAAATTCGCCAAATGAACCTTGATTTATTATGCTTCCTCCTACTGCGGCATTTATTCCCCAGAATTTGGTGCCATTTTCCCAATCATTTCTCTCGGGGCGTCTTAATTCAATAAACTTAATCATCACTCTGCAAAGCATTTAATCCTGGAACAATCATCTTCATTCATATCAAAATCGTCTCTCCTACTCACACTCTATCTTTTTTATTCAGTATCATCACTACGAAGTCACTCCTTCGATCATCCTCACGGACAGTGGGATAATATGAGGCAATTTACGCGAAAAAAAAAATCAAAAATAACTTGACAGCTCTCGTTTTCCCCACAAATAGTATTTTTTTTCGTAATCGATAAATCAGGAAGAAATACAAGTGCCTATTTTCATTTTTTTTATAAAATCGATAGAATGATGAACACATCAGTAATCTTTTCGTTTATTCAGTCACAATAATATCCAAACACGTGAACAAGTAAAATTTAATGCTTTCAATGATGAAAATTGGAGAAATACACGATGGAATGACAGAGTTTAAATAGAAAAAGAAAAAAAACATCCCCTCATCGGCTACATTTTCCTACAGTAGAATATTCCCATTCTTCTGCATCGTGTGTATATTTACATAAATTCTCTCATAATTTCTCGCTTATCGGATAAGTCATCATTTACGAAAATGAAAGAAAAATCTATATTCAACGGCATCTAAATATAATACAACCTGGAATTACAATCTATGCTTTAGGCAGCGTATTATTTATTAAAGTATTCATCGTAAGTACAGTGATCGTATTATACAATATTTATCCTTTATTTATTACTGCCACTGCCTCCGCTCTGTCTCAGAATGAGGCAGTCGAGATAATCTATTGAATCCTTTGAGTATTATATTTTTAATGTCAGTTCTTTAATGTTGAATATTAACTTGGCAAAGTGTATTGAACCACTAAAACGTGGTTGAAAATAACAGTTTCAAGATGATTCGTCTCACAAAGAAGATAATTGCATTTTCGTTTCGTATTTTTAGTAATAAAAATGCGCAAAACTGTTACAAGTATTGCGCGATCGCCCCGTTCCTCAGCTATGGGTTTGTGGATGAGGCGGTGGTGCACCCGTTATTTCAGTCCAACGATTTTCAAAGAAACTTCGCATACCGTGGCCGGCTTTACCAACTGGACTGTCATCCTCATTAAATACCTCACAATTTATGAACATTTGACGTACATCAGCGCAAAATTCATCACGTGATTTATATCTAGAAAAGTTAAAGACAATTTTCAATTCGGGAGCTCGGTTTTTGTTTTTTTTTTTTTTACTGAAGCTGAACCTGGTGGAATTTTCGACAGTGGGAATTCAATCTAGAGGATTTTATGAGTATTTTTTTTCCTTAGATTCGCCAGAATCGATTCTTCCGCTGGTTTCGGCTTCATTGGTTTTGGGGGGTTTTGGTGAAGTGGAATTTGTTGGATTGAATATTGATTATTCTTTGTCATTTTGAAAAACATGAACATTCAGCCCTAAATTTTGATGAATTTCCCCTCATTTATAGACATTTTCCTAGGATAATTGAATTGTTAACTCCTTGAATTTCTTCATTCAATCAATAATTAAAAACTATTGACATGTAAAAAAAGCACCATAAGGCGATGTCAACAACTCCACTCCAATAATAAAACAAAAAAAAATTTGAATGAATGAAGAAAAAAAAATGATCCAACACATTCCACCCCAAACCCCCCCCACCATAATTCTACTTACACAGTATCTTGCAGTTTTTTCTTTATAGTACTGAGGTCCATCGGTGTTTTTATAATTTTTTTATAAGTCGGAAATTGTTTAGTATTAACTGGCAGCAGAAAAGGCCAGGCTTCATCCTGTTGCTCCAACTGTTCAAGCAGTAATTTACAAGGTGCTAATTCACGCTGTTGTTTCTTTGTTAAATTCCTGGCATTAGGCTCTTTACGTGGTGATGCCGTTGGTGTTGGTGGTTCCGACGTATTAGTATCATCACCATGGGTATTTGATGCCGTTGAAGGCGTTGGACTGCGTACAGACCAAAAACAATAAAACAAGAAAACAATACGGTTATTTGATCAAGTCACTCTCTCCTTACTCCAACAAAATTCTCCATCAGTCACTATTTTCTCACATCAATTGAATTTCATTCTCATTAATTCATTATTTGTGAAACCGTTCCCCACGAGCTGCCAATAAAAACGATTTTAATTGACTCAATTGTGTGTTGATTATTGTAGAAAAAATAAATAAAATAGCCTGACGTACAGGGTGTCCCGATTTATTAATTTCACAACGTACCATAAATTCACGTCAACGACTGGCACTCGTAACGTTGCTAACTCCATCGAGGACGTGGAACACCCTGCATGACACACAACATCAGATATCTGACTCAACAGGTCATTTTTAATCCTCAATTCGTCACAACGAAATTAAAAAATGAACATAAAGTCGAGAATTTCGTGATTCCCTCGAGAAAATTAATTGATTAAATAAATAACACTTGCCCCAGGGGATTCTCTGTGACGGTTTTTCAACAGATGTTTACAATAACGGAGATGGTTCATTCACGTGATATCTTACTATACGTATTCTTCTGAATTCATGTTTTTATTAGCCATAATTAGTATTAAATTAGTCATTAAATTAATCAATCGATTCTGATGTTTTTCATTATGCTTATTTGCTGTTGAATGAGTTGAGTGTATGCTTCCGGTTTCTTATTTGCATGAATGATTTTTTTTGTTTTTTTTTTTAGCGTAATCACCTAGCGGGCGGATGATCGGAACTTTCACTGTCTCTGGTGTTGCCTCCACTTTTATTGTGACTCCTTCTTGTACTGTTACGTTTCTTTGGCTGTTTACTGTGACAGTTGGAGCAATACCATTTGCCTCTTGGCATCTGTGGCGATGAAAATTATGAGAATTAATAATTTGGTTTCTTTTTTTACTATTTTTTTTGACAAGGGAGTAGGGATTTTTATTAAATACACACCTTAGGCATCACGGGATTGTGGCAATCGGTGTGATAAGCTCGAGGGCATAATTCGCAGAGCACCAGGTTCTTTCCAACCCTTTTGCCGCACACCAGACAGTTTCTCTCACCGGTCGCTTTATTCATACATTCGTGGCAATACCTGAATAACAAAATTTCATTTGGGTAAATAAATTTAATATGACATGCAGATTCAAGGGGTGATTTTTCTACTTACCAATCACCATCAGGAATGTTCTCCATTTTTGGACGGAAGCAATAAGTATGGTATCCACGATCGCAACCATCGCACAAGAGCAATTTGTCTTCGTTGTCACCACTGTGACAAAACTGGCAATTCTACAAAGGGAAAATACAATGGTTTTAATGCTGGAGAGAGGCGGTAAACGCCTATCGAAAACAGCAAGCGTGCTAGTGAGTACTGATATTAGTGAATTAGTTGGTGAGAGCATGCATTCTTTTTTTAATGTAGAAAATATGAGCTCGATTTTTATCAACTCCGGCCACTGTCAGTGTTTCAATGGACTCCATTTAATCTTCATTGTGACATGTAAATTTACGGTAAACATTTCCGATTGAAACGTCGCATGAAATTCCTCCAATTTTACCAATTTTTGCAACACAATAGGAATTAATTTTGTAGAGAATCTCAAAATGTTGTAGAATTGCAGTAAAATTCCGTTAATTTACTTGGAGAAAGTCTTTATAATTTTTAATAGTGAGAAAAAAGGATGCGATATTTTTCATCCATTTTGCATTTAATAATTTCAATATTTCAATGAAAAAAAATTGAATGGAATCCCGAAAGATTTGTTAATTCTGTTAGCCATCAAAAGTACCCACAGAGGCCTGAGAAGTAGCCAAAAGTCGATTGTATCGAGCAGTAGATTTAACCGAGACACTGCGATTGCGTAGACTCAAGCAGATTGTGTTTCTAGCTGGTGTTAGACTCACAGCCTTCATGATGCTCTTGTCCCACGCGATGCTGGCCTCGAGCATGTAGAGAGCCATTGCCAGTTGTGCTGATGTGTGTGCACGAGCTGTTGCTTCACGCCAGTTGTTGAGACCACGTGGTGTTGTCTCCTCGGGTGGAGGTGGGGCTGATCCCCCATCTGACGAGTTTGAGTTTGCATTTGCCGCTGCTGCTGCTTGTTCTGCTTTGAGAGCTGCCAAGTTTGGATCACCAGTGCTGAAGCAGAGCATTTTTAATTATTTACCTCGTATTTATGTGAATTGTCATTTTTTTCTGCTTTTCGAAATGAAAAAGAATGAATTGAACCCTCGAAAAATATTCTTACCAGACCCCCAGCGGTGGTTTCAGATATCTCCTCTCAATAGCCGCCTCCAACGAGAGCAGCCTCTGCCTGGCCTGCTCGACAGCATTGATCTTCTCCATCTCATTGAGCTTCTCAATCTCATCTGCCTCCTCACTCCCCGCCCTGGGGGGTAGTTTCCAGCCCTTTACCTGCATGCTAGCATTAGCCACCTTGTCCTCCAACGCCTCCACCTGCTCCAGCAGCTGTGCATCGACCCTGAGAGCCACTCCTTCACTCCAATCCCCCGGATTGTCGGGCCTGGGCACCTCGTCCTCCTCGTCCTCTTCGTCCTCCTCCTCTCCGCCCCCCAGATCGGTCGCCGTAGTATTTCCAGGATCCACATGAATCTTCCCAGTGACAGCCAGGAAGGATTCCATAGTGGCCCACGTCGTCCTCTTCAGCTCCTTCTCCCTCACTCCCCTGGAGTGCAAATGCTCGAGAAGCTCTTGGAAAGTATCGACATCAGCGATTCTCCACCAGCCATACCTCAAATCCTCAGGAACAGGTTTCGCCTCGCCTGGAGGTGGCAACCCATGGACCTTCAGATACTCCAACTGTGCTGCCTCATCCTGAGTTAAAATCAGAGGAGCTGGACTGTCACAACGCTCATACCCTGGACTAGCTGGTGGTGGAAAAATCGGTATCCTCAACTCTGCACTCTCAGCTATTCCAAATATCTGCTTGCTACTCGGTCCAGATGTGTCACAAGTCTCTCGTGGCAGTATCGAGAACCAGGGCATGTCCACCTCACCCATCCCCCCATTAACATCCTTGCCATTGGGCAGACTGTGAAGATGATTACACTTGTCACCATTAACATTCTCACTCTTCTCCTCAAACTTTTCCATTTTAGGATCAACCTCCATCTCAGTCTCCTGTTTAATCTCCTCCGATGTGACATTAGTCTTGGCATCACTCGTCAGGTTGTCATCAGTTTTCAAAACCTCGTTCATCTCCTTCTTCACGAAATTTTCGTTGACCTCAGGGCTGACCTCATCAGCCCTGGACTTCTCCTTAATTTTCTCCTCTGGGTCGTCATTATTGGGGGAATCCCCAGGATCTTTTTTATCATCATTACTCTCTCCTTTTTTCCCCTCCACCTTCTCCTCGATCAATTTCCCCTTCCACTTTTCATCGAGTTCTGCCTGCAGCTCCAGAACCTCGGGTTCCGCACTCTCCATGGCCTCCACGAAAATTCCCCCAGCGCAGGGGAGCTCCCAGTACCGCCTCCAGTATCTGTCCTGACCGAAAACATGGGCTCGAAGTTGCTTCGAGGAGCCATTGAGCTTCTGCAACTGCTCCTCAGACTGTTTGAGCAGTTTATCCAGTTTTTTTCCAAGCTCTTCGGCAGAAAGATTCTTGTCCTCTTCCTCCTCTGGCTGTGTCCCCTCCGACTCATTCTCAGACATGTCCTCGACCTCGTCCTCGTGGTGAATCTCCTCGGGGGTTGGGGTTGTGTCCATCGTTGGATTATTGGTACTTGAGGTGTTGGTCTCCTCGTCAGCCTCTTTCTTCTCGATTGTTATTGTGTCACCAGTCTTGTTGATGATAACACCAACTGCCTCCATCCGGACTTTCCTGCTGTGCAACTGTCGGAGCTTTCGGATTTTCGTATCCAGGACAAAACGCTCCTTCTTCAGTTGGGCAACAGTCTCCAGGCTCCCCTCGATCTGACGTATCACAGCTTTATTTTGAAGCAATTCATTGCAGAGAAAACCTAGCATTTGAGCTTTGTGCGTTGGATTAAGCGCCAGGAAGGGCTTGTCTCGGAGTCTCTCCGACATCTTCCAGGTTTCGTTGTTGTGAAGGTGCTCATAGAACTGGGCATTCTTTCCTGAGGGGGTGGAGGGATAGTCACCACCGTTCTGATGGTGATCGGCGAATTTTTTGTCTCGTTCGCGCTCTAAACAAACGCCAGTTAGGGCTTTCACTTCGCCCGTTGCGTTGGCGTAGAGGTAGATCCGGAGGACCTCGCTGATGTTGGCGTGAGTGATGTCTGCTTGGCGGAGGGACTGGCCGAGGCCTGTGGTGTGACGCGCTGGCTGGGGAATCCCTGGGTCCTCTATCGCACAGACCAGGAGGTGCGTCATCACGGAGAGCATCTCCTCCTCGGCTTCCTCGTCATTCAGGAGGGCCAGTTGCAGGCTCTTCAGGGAGGGGAGGGACTCCATGTCGAAGCCCAGGGTCTCACCGAAGTTGTGGAGGAACTCGAAGACCATTACTATTTCGGCAAAGGCTTCCCCGGAGAGCTTCAGGCGGGGGATGCGCTTTATCTGGGGCAGGGGTTTGTGATCTGGAATTTCAAGGGTGAGTAGAGTTGTAATGACGCAGGGAAAAATTTGCTAGGAAAATATTAACAGAATTCAGGAAAATTCAAGTGAAATGAGGAATTTTTCAATGAAGCAGAGAATTTCTTCAACAGTATTTTATTTATTAATAGACCAGGAGAGCACATACCTGTCAGTTCCATATCCTCCACCGGTTTCCTGATCTGCTCCACCAGTTCCATCTCGAGTTTCCTCTGTTCAGCCCGTTTTTCCTTCGTCGCAAGTCTCTCGGCGCGCGCCTCCAGTCGTTTTTTCTCGCGTTCCTCCATCCGTCGACGATTCTCCAAGGCGCGAATCAACGCCATATGCTGCCGTCTCCTCTCGCGTTCCTAGCAATTGAATAAACAATCCTCATTATTTCCTCTGCACCGAGGGATCCAACGATTTGAACAGACAACCAGAAACAAACTCATTATAACTCAAAACTCATCCCTCTATTTCACTATCAAGTGCCATTATTCCACCAAAATTGTTAATTCTAAAATAATGAAAACCAACACCTCTAGACTAACAAACAAAATAGATGACTAGATACGAAGAGCATAAGATCAGAAGAGTATCGTGCATGAAAGATGTATGGAACTCCTGGAATTAGTTTTTTTTTCTACATGAAAATTTGTTGTTTCGTGAAATCAAATGATTTGTGATGTTTCATATCCAGAGAAATGATGCATTTCAGTCGAATAAACATTTGTTTATGTTTAAAAAAACTATTCGTTAAAAATATTGTTGTTCATTTCAATAATAGTTCTGTTGACAATTAGCCAAGTCATGGATTAATTTCAATGTGAGAATTCAATTATGAGTAAATAATGAATTAATTGTAAATAAATAAATTCATTGGATGCAAAAATGGACTATTTCTCTGGTTCTAGAGGAATTATCACATTAGCGATTGAAGTGACTGTATCAAGCTGTTAATTTAATGCAGAACACGAAAAAATGAAACAATTATTGATGAAAACAATTAGTGACACGAATACGACAACTATAAAAATCGATCGATTAATCCCCAATGATGTATTTTTGTTAATGAAAATTCGGAATAATTGTTTAGTATGAGTGCTCAAATCTCCACTTGTTAATCTTGTGTTGAAATAAATAAATAAAATTTTTTTGTTCTTTTTTCTAAGGTCAGGGTACGAGACATACCAACTCGACGGTGTAGAGCATCTCGCGCTGCTTGCTGAGCTCCTGCATGTACATCTGTAGCAACAAAACACACCATCCAGTCCAACAGTGCTCAAAAAAACCTCAAACGGCCCTCACACTCAACCAAATCGCATTAAAAATTGAATAAATTTAATTTTTTTTCCTCTCGTTGCAACACAAATTCGATCATTTAGTGAATTTTCGTGTTGTATTTGCGTTTCTTTCTAGGTCGAAATCATTGGATTTGAGATACTTTGAATTTTGAAACATTCAAATTTACAGTTACAATGATTTTATTTCAAGGAAGCAATGAAATGCACGTCTAACTACAACACACTCTACGATCTACGATGATCACAGTTTCCGTCTTGTTGTGATTTCTTTTGGGTAACTCACCTGTTCTTTGAGCATCACTGCCTGCTGACGTTTAAGTTCACGTTCCTGTGGAGGTAAACATCATTTGTTACTTCATATTACAGATATTTGACTTTTTTTCTACTGACAAATTGTCCATATTCGCAGAACTAATTGAAATATTGACAAATGGAACAGAATTTGAATAGTTGATGAAAATCTCGTAAAACATTTTTATTTCACTCGTTAGGACTTTTAACCGGAGAAATTAAACAATGTTTTAAACGCAACAGAATTCAATTTACGCGTTTAAACGGGAAAATAAAAAAATTATCTTCATTCATTCGAGTATAATAAACTCGAGACAATAATTTGAAAAAAGTTCGCGCGATTCTCATGAAATTCATACCTGTTGTTTTCGCTGTTGTTCCTCCATCCGAATTTTCTCAACTTCCTCCTGTCTTTTTTTTCTCGCCTGCACATAAGTCCAAACAACAAACAATAAAACAATAAAATCAACTAATGAATAGAGGCACATTTAACTAAACAAAAGTTCTACAAAACAAAAGAGAGAATTAGACGATCGTGGTGAGAACAAATAAATGTGTATTATGTGAATGACTATTCAGCACGTAAAATATCAATCAATGGAAATATAAATATATATGAAGGATTACGGAATTTTTCATTTGAAATTATTACTGTATTATTGAATGAAGTGTGCAGTGTGCTTTGATTATTAAGAATAAGCTTTGAAACACTCGCGAATTCGAGAAGTCGAAAGTTTGAGATTTTCGTGCGGTTCGATTGATAATTTTTATCGTATCAATAACAATTTTCAACTTAATAAACATGTTAGTCGATAAATAAATATATTACGTGTATGGTAAAATTTAATTGAATTTCTATTTGTTTTTCCAACAGATATGTTGATAGAAAAACGGTAATAGATGTGGATTTTTTTTCCGTTGCATTTTGTAATGAGAAACGAAAAATAGTTCTACAGAAAAATGAAAATCTACTGAAATCTAGGTTTTTCCATAAAATTTTTCATACATGTATATAAAATCGTGAAATGAGAGAATATAGAAGGGAGAGTGACTGGAGAATAGCATTAAGAAATTGATTCATTTGTAAAACATGCTAGCAAGACTCAAGCAGATACAATTAATCCCCTCCACAAAGTATAAAAATCCCTGAAAAAAAAATTCTCAGCCCCGCGAAATGGACTCTCCCTTGTACAATGAGTAATACAGTAACATAATACACAGAATACTGAAAAAGATATCCATAAAACAGCAGATAAAAATATCAAGAGATGACAGAAGAACAAGGATACGTGAGAAATAGTATAAATACATCAGACAAATGAAAAAAATCGCCCGAATATCCGGAAATACTCGACATACAGAGCCATGCGGAATTAAAATTAATTTTATTAATCAATCAATAAATTATTTGATTATATTCATATATTTTAGCTAGCTGTTATACATAGTGACAGGAGAAGCTAAGGCAAAGGAAAGTAATATCTCATACTGCGCAAGATTTTCCTAAATTCATTGAGACTCTAAATAGTTGGTCTTGTTCTCGTTCATCGTAATATCCACTGGCGATCAGATATTACAAGTAATTTCGAGCTGCACGATATTATTTAATGTATTCGACATCCCCATTCTTCAATATATTCAGTGTCGTGTGTGCAAATGTGTCGATTAAATGGTCTACAGCAAACCACGACCGTCTCGTTAAATGAAACAAGGTGGACTGACTTATTATCCTCGAGAAACACAATTCCAGAAATATCTGCGACTAAATCTCCATGATAATTTCACTCTGGGCATTATTATGTCCAAGAAAATCTCCATGAAATTATTTTTTTTTAACGAAGATAGTCTACGTATTCATCGAAGAAGATCATGTTTTGAGCCCAACTGGAAGTATTTTGAGCTAATATGTTGGGAGAACGACGGAAATTTCGTGGAAATGTCGTATCAATTTTCAGAGGCGTCACATTGACTTCAATATTTAGGGAAAAAACGTATAAAATGAAAGAAAAAATTTTACTAAAAACTTTGACTATGTTCCCTCCCCAATAATCTCGTGAATAATAAGTCGTGTGACCACAAAACACAACCGAAAATAAATCAAGCTATGTGTTTCTCTCCAACTAGGTAACTATCTAGATAAGCTGACTGATGGGAAAATGCAGGGTTACTCAAAGATAATAATTTACTCCTCTCGAATTTTCCCTCTCTCCTCATCGGCCCGTTGCATCTCACATTTCCCTCACTATTCCAACGCCTCCCATTCACTCTTTTAAACATTTTTTAAATGCACTTTGGAATGTTCGCTTAGCAGGAAGTTTGGGGGGTTGGGGGAGGGGGATGAGTCCTTACCTCCAGGAGTTCCTGGTTTAGCGTTTGTGTCTGTGGTTGCTGGATCTCCACTGACGGCTGTGAATTCAACGAAGGTGACGTGGGGATTGAGCTACATGTCGACGATGGAGTACTTGACATAGCTATTATTGATGGTGATGTCGTTATCGGAGGTGTTGACATTGCTCCCGGCACAATAACATTATTCTGAAGGATATTTTTCTTTCCAATTTGTTCCATTTCACTGTCTGTTTGCATCATATCACGATTTCTCCAGCTCTCAGCTATACTGACACGATTTTTCCAGATTGTAGCAACTGTACTGCTAGCCAGACCCAATTCCCTTGCCACATCACTCTTACTCTTTCCACGTTCTATTTCCTGTATGATCTTCATCTTCTGTTTTATCGTGAACGCAAGCCTCTTCCGACCCTGCACCAATTTTCTTTTTTTTCTCTTCCTTTTCATCCATTTTTTTTGTGTTCTTGGGGATGTATTGTTTTGTGTAATGAATTATTAATTGAAAAATCGTAAAAAAAGTCCTAGGGTCTCCTCTATTATTCAGGGGAAAATAAAAGTAAGCGACATGTTGCAGCACACGGATTTGGTCTGTTCTGAGACTTTTCGGGGTTGTGTTCTTTTTTTTTTTTTATATAAAGGGAATTCAGGAAAACGTGGGGGAACATAATATGAAAATACATGCTGGGCCCTCCTGTCACTATTGCTAGCGCCTTTTCGTGTCACTGTGTCCCTTGGATTAACGGTGATTTTTGTAAGTTCAGGACCAAGGTTCAAACAGTTTCAACATTCGTGATTTTTTGAAAACGGTTATTCGATTGTTGTTATCGATATTCATGATGTGTATGTAAATATATGGAATATTATAGATGTGTAAATATGGCACACACAGATAACATGCGACACGCACGGCAGGTGAACGGAAATATGAAAATATGATACTTTTGATTTTATGGTTTGAATTTAATTAAATTTATAAATATCGAAAATTGGGAAAGTGGATTTGGTGATTGTCACAGTATTTATCCTGTATGAATGACAATTATTTCTACTAAAAGAGAAAGAATTGGGGAATTTTCTTATGATTTTGAGTGTGCGTTCGGATACTGGGACATTCACCTTTTAATCTGTTATTATGATGTGAATTAAAAAACAACAAGATTCTCGATAAAGACAATTTTGTAGTTAGGTTTTGGTGAAAGGTAAGGGAACAGTGACTCACCTCCAGGAGCTGCTGATTTCTGATCTCTCGTTCTCGACGTACAGCTTCCTGTCTCTCAGTCTTTTCCTGTTCCTTTATCAATCTGTAAATTAAATGAGGAGTCATTAGGGGATATCTATCTATTTTTTCTGCCGATAAAAATTTTTTTTTTCAAATCTCGATAAGTAGAACAATAAAAAAAAAAACAAATTATTGTGTATGCAAATGGTCTTCATACCTAGCTTGCTCCTTGTGTCTCTGTGCCTCCTCTTTCGCCAGTTTTTTAGCATAAGCCAACTTGTCCCTCTCATATTGACTGGTTGGCCTCACATCTCGGAATCCCCCCGCCGCCCTGAGTTCCTCCAGCCTCCGCGCCACTTCCTGGGCCCCCAGTCTCACGAATTCAGCCTCAGCCAAACCCATCGTTGGCTGGAGGAATTCTCCAACGAGAGGTTTCGACGAGAACGAGAAGTTGGCGGTTGTCAGGTCTGCTGGATTTTGAATCTCCAGAAACTAAAGTAAAACATTTCATTTTCATTTTAATATTGAAATTAACATCAATATTTTATAAGATCTCCATTGACTATTCAAAATCGTTAATTTTTAAAAACTCGAATTAATTAGAAATTATCTATTCCATTTGATTAAAATGAGAAATACAATAATGTCTGCACAATTTGGAATATGAAAAAGTGAATTAGTCATTGAGTTTTGAGACAACAATATTATCCATTGAACATCCTTCGAACTGACCTTGAACAAGTCCTGATTATTCCTGAAAGTCTTTCCACAAGGGCTGTAGTAAGTGACATCCCCCTTAATGACCCCAGTCTTGCCCAACCCCTTGATAACCGTCTCCCTCTTCCAGCCCCTCTCCAGAGGTACCTGTAGATCCTTCTCACTGGGATTCAATTTTCGTCTTTTAGCACTGGGCACACCATCCGCATTGTCGTCATCGGTATCAGTGACAACATCCGTATTACTACCACTCTCACTGGTCACGTCCATGTTACTTTCCTCACCGGAAACCTCAAGCAGTTTACTCTTCATTTTTTCCTGCAAGGAGCGCTACATTGGAAAGCGTTGTATTTATTAATTAATCAAATAAAATAAAATCATAAGAAATGAGTGGACAATTAGTGGTAATTGCCACTGGAAAATCAAGGATCTTTTGAAGGGAACTATGAGTTTTTTCTCCGAAATAAAAAAAATGTGTAGAATAATAATCACGAATTACTCATTTTCAATTCGCTTTGGACGTCGCCAATTTTTTTTTTTCTAATAAAAGTTGAATTATGTATGCAAAATATTTTTTATTCTTTTCAAATAGTAAAAAAAATTCAAGAAACAATTCACAGTATTCCCTCGACGAAAACAATAAAAGCAAAATGAAGCAAAAGCAATTGTTGAAATATGAAAGAAATAACGGAATGAAAGTATAAAAAATCATAACATACTTGACCCTTCTCATCAATTTGACCAGTCGCTGACGCATGTAACTGCGCAGCAAGTATATTAGATCTAAGTAACGATACTTGATGGGACAATGGTACATTTGGATCCAGTGTTGGGGTAGGTTTTATTCCCAGAGCACGACTCTGGGCCAATAACGATGCCACTGTATTTTTCTTGGGCTTTGATACACCACGTCCCAAGTTTCTGGGTCTACCGTCTTTGTGGTGTATCGGGGTTGTTTCACTCTCCTCACTTCCGCTGCTCGGACGTTGCGGCGAATCAGCAGCAGTGAATAACTGAGCGAGTGAGGGACTCGGTGAGGCTGGCACTGTTACTGAGTTCTGGGGGACTCGTCGTGGCTTGGGACCTGGTTTCCGTCGCGCTGTATAAAATTTGTGAAACAGAAAGGATCATCAGTTGTACGTGTGGAAGAAAATATCTAGGGAACAGGAATAGCCATATCCATAAATCATAATTACCCTTAAATTTTTAATCATTTAAGTAATCATCAATTTAAATATTCAAATCATGAATTACTTTACAAATCAATAATTTACCGCAATCGGAAATTTAAATTATTAATATTATACTATTTTTAAATTTTGATGAGTATATTTAAAGCTCCATCAATATAAGTCGGAAATCCTTTCAATATTGAAGAAATGTAATATTGATGGCCATCCCTGCTAGGGGAAATTATGGGTAATTGTGGGAATTATTTTATAAACATGAAAGAAAAACTGGGGTGGGGATAATTTAACCCAACAATTCCCATCATTCTCGGCATGATAATAATAATATCGAGAGAAGACTTACACGTACGATCGGAGGCCAACAATGATTGACTGAGATTACTTAGTTGACTGAGAGGTTGACTGCCTGATATCGGTGAACTGCTGCTCGTTGATGCTGGCTTCAATGACAGATTCAGGGGTGCATCAGCGTCGTTGGAGTTGCTGGTAGTGTTGCTCATGGTGTACAATGGAGGAGCCGTTAATACTGAACCGTTGGTTGAATGGGCCGGTAGTTTTATCACTTCCACACGATCCACGGAGTCCCTGTATTCGCTCGATTCACTCTGGAGAACAATAAAAATTCAATTTTAAAACGATATACCACAGTTCAGGGATTGGAATGGAACTAATTGGAGAGTTTGATAATTGCCATTGGTGTACGATTGAATTTTCCCGGGAATAGTGTATTTTATTTCAGTATTTCAATGAAATTCTGAAATAGACAATTAATTTCGAAAGAGGAATTATGTCGAAGATAATTTATCCCAACAATCCCCATTATCCTCAACATAATTGCCTATTCAATTTGACTATTTCAATGGAATTGTCAAATACTGGATAGTTGGTTTGATAATTACCACTGGTGTACGATTGAATTTTCTCGGCTCCATAACCAGGGATGAGGTAGTTGGGGTAGTCTGATGAGCACTGAGTGCCTGCACTGAAGGTGGATGAACACTTACACTCGGTGAATCTAATGATATTGTCTTTTTCCTACCGCGATTCGTCGTACCTGGAACCTTTGGTCCAACAATACTCGATGTGTACTTTATGATTTCAGTGTCCGGTGGAAGTCTCACGCCTCCCAGGATACTGCTTGGATCACTAAAATCAGAACTGATTCAGTTTAATGCATTTGGTGAATTTTAACTGAATTAAAATTTTTGTTAAAATTAATTGATAAAATGTACTCATGTATTTTAAATAATTCCACTTCTTGAAAATGTTTATCAAATTATTTCACTAAATATTTAATCACTCATCGATTTCGTGAGGGTGAAAACAAGTTCAAATGAAAAATAAACGATTTGTAGTTCCAAAATTATGGCTTTAAAAAAACATTTGAAAATATATCAGTAATATTAATCACCTTCCTTCCTTCGCTGGAGGACTACTAAATACCGTGGAAGAGATTATATAATTTTAATGACATTATTGTAATATTTCATGTAATAATCATCAAAGTTAGTAATAATCCTTTAATCTTTAGTGATTACCTAACAACATTGGCCTGGGTAGTCGTCGTATTGCAACTCGTAGCTGGTGTTGTATTGTGATGACTCGTTGTTACAGATGCTTGACTTACAGACAAACTACTTGTATGAGTACTCGGTGTCGTAGAATTATTGTTATTCGTAGTACTGCTGCTACTGCTGGTCGCTGCTGGTTTATGACTCTTACTTGACTTAGCTGTTTGCATTGTAATTAATGTGACGGTCAGTGAGGCATTTTATTGGGCTCGTTATTATTATCTGGAGTACTGTGGGGATACACTTACACTTACTGGACTTGTGGGACGACGACAGGGACGGTGGAGTTAGCAGTGATGCTGGATATGGGGGTAATAGGCTCTCAGCACCTGGGGGAAAACCAGGTAAACCAGCAGCACCTTGTAACCTGGCTAGGTAATCTTGAGCTGCTAAGTGCGATGCCATTGTCCACCATGCTGCACTTGCTGAATTTATACCTGTGTCGGTGGACGAATTAATTGAAAAAACCTACAATTTTATAGAATTCATGCTGAAATTCTATTGGACATTGTATTCTTTCTCGTCGATTTCCATTGAATTTAGACATTCTTTTTTCTGTGGAAATTTTTTTGGGACGAAGCTTCTCAAAGGAATGATACGGGGAGAAATGGACCGAATCGCTTTAACATTTCACGAATGAATAGCCTTAAAATTCACCTAAACTGGCTGCTTGACTGGCAGCAACACTGAGCGTCCCAAGACTCGCGTGAGAGTACGGTGGTGGCGGTGGTGGTGGTGCTGATGCTGGTGTGTGACCACCAAAACCAGGTGCTGCACCACCACGTCCTAGCATTGCATAGGCCGATGGCAAATGATGAGCACCGAGTCCATAACCACCAGGCATACCACCAAACAGTGAGGATGCTGCACTATCGCCACGTGGCCAATAAGCTGAAATAATATTTACGTGATTTTTAAGTGTCGAGATCGATTCAGCGTTATGGTAATGGGGGAGGAGTCGATATTCTGCAATTTAATGCCGATGTAATACATCGTTATGGGTTATACGCGGTGCTTTCCGCATCCTCGTGGCCTTGGTTAAGGTGATGGTATGGAGAATAAAGGATTAAATAGTATATTTTATTTCAGTTCTTCAATGAAATTCTCAGATGGATCATCAATTCCGAAAGGGGAATTCTGTGGAAGATAATTTATCGCAGCGATTCCCGTTATCGTTAGCATAATTTGTCAAAATGGGGATAAATATGAATATCAAATAAGAGAGGAATATTGAGAGACGAATTTTCTACTTATTGCTTGATTTTTGTTTATGGAACTCAAGTGAATGAAAAATGAAACATTATATTTTAGTTCAGAATTTCAATGAAATTCAGTATATCAATGATGTTGATTTCCGCAGTGTCGAGGCCTCGGTCAAGACTGTAGCATTGAGAATCAGAGGGTCACTCGAATTCATACTGGGTTGTCGAACCTTGGACTTGAGATATTTTCCAGCAAAATTTGCAAATTAAATTTCATTCCCAGAGTTTTAGGAATCTATCTCCTCTTGGCGATGGATATTTCTTCTGTTGAAATGTTTCAACCGATTTTTTTCGACGAATTTTAAATGACTCAGAATATTTCAAAGAATGGGATAGTTTATTCATTGATTTTTATTCAAACTTGAACTGAATTATTAGTTCGTACTAAATTCTTCATTGATTAAAAATGAAATAATTATGTAGAGAACGAAGAGGAAATATTTATTTGATGCTAAGAGGGGAATTATTAAAAATTAATAAAGTATTTATCTCCTGTAATTAGAGCATTCTCATCGGAATGTAATGAGTTCATTAATTTCAACCAAAAATGCTGTTGAAATGGAATAAAATATTCCAAATAAAGCGGTTGATTTTCAATTCCAAATAAAATTCTATTGAATTCTAATAAAATTGCAGCGAAACATTCAAACAGAGGTAAATTCTCCATGAAAAGAATATCAAGCACCTTCTTGTATCTATAAAACACGAAAATCTTTTCCCATAAAAAAATCAAATCAATTAGGCGGTGGAAGAATAGACAGGGGTTGAATCGAAAGCGCTCGCATGACACACGCTGTACATGAACGGGGGGTTTGCACATATGAAGTACACGATCCGCCTCATGTGTTGATGATTCTACGACGTATGTACGAGGAAGTCTACCCCAGTATAATGCGAGGAATTTCCACCCCATGTCATTTTCAAGGGGAATATGCGTGTATAATCAATATTGAGAATTAGTTCATTGCTGTGCAGTGCTGGGTATTCACGAAATTATGGTTCACATGTTTCCCGGACGCAATACTGTTCGAACCAGTTATTTTAGATGACTGAATACCGTTTATTCATTCATCTTTCCCTCTGAAATTTAAATTAATTGAATATCTGCCGCTGCACTCTGTCATTATGCTAAATAAAATGGGATTGTCCATTTTATTCTGTTTGTTATGCCTGAAACATCATCTGGGAATTCCATTTATCGACTTGAAACACTCCATAATAACAAACATTCATGAAAAAAGAGTGAAAAATAATGAATTAGCAATTCAAATCCTCCAAATCCGCCAATAAATACCTAGTATTTTTTTTAGAATGGCTTTCATCATCCGAGATCACCCCGAATTGTTCCCCAAGTACCCTCGACACATCTTTGACACACAAAAAAAAAACACCCCAGACAAGCAAAAGGAAAGCTCGTTCGATGGAAAGGACGTTCTCGTTAGTGCAATTCCGTAATTGCAATTGGTTCGCTCTCTCCCTCCCTCTCGCCCTCCTTCCCCTCCTTCTCCATCCCGTTTTCTATATCTCGGTTCTATTCCACGCCTGTCGCGCCGTTTCCGGAGTCCCTCATCCCCCACAATCCATACTGTGCCCAGTCCGGACATCTCACCCTCATCTCCACTCTTCTTTTTTTCTTCCACACACACACACCCACACACAGACACACAAAGTGCCTTTTTCATTTCTGGGAGAGATGGGAGGGGCCTCGGGGCTTTGATAACGAAATAGGAATACGTAAATTCCACTTCTCCGCAAAATGTCATCAGCTATTCAAAATGAATTCATATGTTCCAAAATATTTTGACATTATTTCAGTTAATGCTGCATTATTCTCAGTTTTACTTCTGTTTTTTGCTTTTCAAGTTTCATTCAAGGCTGTATCTATCCAAGAGGGAGAGACCTCGGACGGAAAAGTGTCTCCAACGCTTATATTTTGTTTATATCATCGTTAGGATACAACGAAATATCGAGAATATTGATGTTTTCCGAGAGAATGGGCGTTGGAGACACAATGTCGGCATTTGGGATGCTGTGCAGTGTAGCGTCTAGCTTGGAGAATGATGCGAAGAGAGTCGGACGATAGGGGGGTTAAAACGGAATCCAGAGGGACTGGAGGGAGAAAGGGGGGACAAAACGACGACTGTGCCGCAGCCGGGCCAGGCGAACTGAGGTGGTAATCAATAAATATACAGAACTAGCTTTAACGTGTGGTATAACGTTGGAGTGGGCTTCGCAATTGTGGAAACGATTACAGATTTTTAAAAATTCATCGCCACCACATCGACAATGCCACATGTAATACTCTGGGAAGCACTAATGAATGCAGGAAATTCCGTAAATAATGAAATTAAGAAATTGGGGGAGAGACGAAAATAAAAATTTGTAAAATATAAATTGCCAAAATTCCCGATGTCTCATCGGCAATGATAATGAACCGAAGGATTTCAAATAAAATAATAACAAATATGAATACAAAAGATGAAAAACAAGGTGAAAACAATGAATAATGAGCATGAAATTCAGGGAAATTGAGGAAGAGATGAAAATTTAAAAAATACTCACCACCGAATAGTGCACTGGGATCGAGGAGTGGGTTAGCCTGATCCGCTTGTAATTTATCAGAGACGGAGCTGGCTACGGAGCCCGGTGTTGCCGTTGTTGCTGTTGTATCTCCACCCCCACCTCCGCCCGACGCGGAGTTCTCCTTCTCCATGCCAGTTTCCTGAAGAAATTAGGAAAGAAACGTGATCTGATTGATTGGAAAAATGTCATCTCGAGGGAAAGTCACTATCGTATCCCCCCCCTCCCTCCCGCCCCTCCGGGAAGTTCCCCTACATTGCTTCCATCAGCTGACTGACACTTTCCCCTCATATTCAGCTGTTCAATATAAATATGACATTGAGGTTGGGTTTAATTGATTGATTGATTTATGATCGATTCGATTGTTGTTGATTTCCGGTGATTTAATGAATTTTTAGGAAGGGAAAAGGGGGATTAGGTGGGATTTGAGGGTCAGATTAAAGGGTCAGTATGGAAATTTCAATATAAGTATTCGTGACATCAAAGTTTAGCTTAATTAATTGATTATTAATCGATTCAATTGTCATTAATTTCCTATTTTTGTAATTCAGATGGGATTTGTGGGTCAGAGTGATGGGTCACCATTGAAATAAATTTCATATAAATATACCTAGGACATTGAGTTTAAATAGTTTTAATTAGTTGATTGATAACCTACTCAATCGTCATCAATCGCATTAATTAATTACGTTAATTTCCTATTTTTATGGGGAGAAAACGAGGATTAGACGGTATTTAAGGGTCAAATTAACCGGAAATTAGGGATCAGATGTGATCTGGTGCATTTAATATAGTGACGGAGAGTTTTCAACATCGATCCTAATGTTAAATGCGAATGGCGACTGAATGCACTGTTGTGAGGACCAATGCTTGAAGTTGGACGATGTGGAGGGCACATTGGTGAGAGGAGAGGTGCAGAACCTCTGGAAGTGGAGGGAAGCGGAGGTAAGCCACCAGCAGCAATCAATACAGAGCTAGCAGAGCAAAACCATCCTCTGCCCCCCTTGCAATGCTCACTCATTCTCTCTCTCTCTCTCTTTCGAGGCTCTAGCTGGGGTTGTCTCACCGCGCGTGAATATACTTCGATGCGAGGTTTACTTGGGTATTCCGGGGTAATCGCGAATTGTGTAATTACTCTTTGTATTTCACTTCTTGGTGAAGAGCAGGGGGGGGTGGATAGAAAGCTATTTATTCAGTTATCACTTAATTTGTTTAATTTGAGTTAATTGGTGCGCCGATTAATTCTATACTCATTTCTTCCAATTTTCCCATGATCCGTTTCACTGATTTCACGGATGGTAAGTGTGATGGTGAATAGCAACATAAAAGAAATAGAACTTTTACTTGTACAACATTACAATGGAATTCATTATTTTTGAAGATAATTCCGGAATTACAAAATCCATTGTCTCTTCTCAACAATAATAATATTATTATAATAAACAGGTAGATTTTGAATACAATAATAATAAAAATGAATCGAAAAGAGGATACATAAGGCAAATAGACAATCGATACGAAATTGAAAGAAATTAAAGAGATGAAAATGGAAATTTTTGTGAGCTCAAATCTTCAAAGTGAATAATTCGTATTTAATTATTCATAATGAGTGTCATATACTTACAATTGATGACGGGGCTTTAACTCATAGTAAATGACCGCTCCAAAATGACTCCATTATATCTGAAAAAAAAATAATAGGGAAATTATAGAGACAGTTTGATTGAAAAAATTATCTGGTGAATGCATATATCCGGGGAAAAAATAGAATCAGGAACCATTTATATCTTGAGATTACGAGTCATCTGATGTTGAAAGTGGTGAATATAACTTAAGTGTCTGTTTTATGCCGATATAACAGGAACTGCCGATTGCAGTAAATTCATACCATGAATATCAACGCACTCTCGCGGACCGCTGTAGCCAGACAAATGGTTTATTTAATCAAATTCACATTCTTTTATTCAAACTTGAACTTGATTTTCATGTGCATTTTGCATAGAAATATCTATCATTTGTGATTCTGAAAATTTATATTGTTATATTTGCGTTTCATGTAAATCCCACGCAATTCAATTGAAATTGATGATATTCTATGAATTAAAATTTAAAAATGTGACGTTAACTGGAAAATTCCTCCCCTCCGAAAGCCGATTAAACGATCTCCAGCCAAAAGCCCCTTGACCACTATTGAAAATTAATCATCTCGATAATGAGCATAGAACTACGTGTACGTATTCGCTAATCAAGTGAAAGGATTGTCAAATCGATGATCGTTCAGATGCACGTGGTGGAAAAGGTGTTACAGCACCTGCGCACTGACTCTACGTACTAGTTCTCAGAGACGGTTGGCCCAGATTTTCACTTCGTTAACGATCACAGTAACAACGCGTGTTTCTCGCCGATATCCTTAATCCCCCCCGAAAAAAAAAAAAAAAATCAACGAGGAGAGAAATGAAAGCCCGAGTGAAGAGACCAACTCCTCCGGAACGATTCAAATTCGAAGGAGACGCTGAACGTTCAGTACAGGGGGGGAGTAGTGCTGGGGCCGGAAAACAGGAGGCAACGGCCTCTCCGTGGCATACACATGCAGACGAAGGGGGGAAGAGGGGAGAAAAAACCCACGAAATAATTCTATCGCGTGCACTCGCTGGCCGGCTGGCGTGTGTGTGCTTCCTTTTCAATGGCTGCCACCTGGGTTGCTCCGCACCGTGCGAGGGCACCACGATCATTGGAAAAAGGCTTCAGGGCAATTCAACCCCCATTATGGGTTATTTTATCGAGAGATATTTACACCGGACGGGATTGGCTTCATACATGGGGAATTCAAGAGCATTCCGTAAGATGATTTTTACTCGAGTCGAGGATGCTTCATTTTTTTTTTCACTTTTCGTTATTAAATTGAAGAAACATTTTTTTTGGTTGAAATTTGGGAGAATTGAGTGAATAAATTTTTACCGAGTTCCACGGATATTCACAATTTGATGGGGAAATCAATGAAACTGGGAATTTTATCATTTGTTATTTTATCAGATCTCATAAAATAAACCATATAAAAAATACTCTTCGTCCTGCGTGTTATATTGAACTGTGCATATTATTAATTGAATTATTATACTTTGTGTATTTAATTTGATTCTGTAACTGGCCGTGCGCTGCTCTCTACGAAATGAAATAAAATTAAATGAAATTTTCCTTATCAACATCATTATGTCCTCAAGCATAATTCCCGTTGTTCAACTGAACAAGAACTCGTCAATTAAATCAGGGAGATGATGAGTGACCTTTTGCCATGTTTTCTTCCCCTAGCTGACACAACATCAACGAAACCCAAGCGAAATCACCTCTTTCCCGGTCAACCCGCCCCCGATATAATAGTTTTCTTACCCAACACGGAAGAACCGAGTTATAAAAGGAGAGTCTAGTCGGCACGTCGATAGCCACCGCAGGTCGATGCGGGTCAGCCGTTTACCTGGGACAGCTCCCATGCTGTTTCACTTCTACTGGGTATAGAGCCTTCATACCTGCGTTATACTTTAAAATGTCGCTTTTGTTACCGACCCCGTTATTTTATTCTAGCAATAAAGGACCCGAGGAGTTCTTGAAATTCGTCATTTGAGTATTTGAACAATTGCCAATGGATTAACTCATCCACTGCCCCATGACGATCTACATACATCGATTTAGTTGTAATTTCCAGGAGAGCGACATTGAATTCGATTTACGGGAGTAAAAATTATGAAATTTGAAAACGAGAATTCCCCAATTAAAAAATACTCTCCGAGATTTTCCTAATTTCTATCAATTTACCGGTAATAATTGAGGGAATGAAAACCTTTCAATTCAAACAAACATTTCCAGAAAAATTCAAATGAAGACTTATTGGACTCAAACCAGTTACCGAGGATACTTCGTGCAACTGTAGCAATTGAAACAATGCAGTAGAAATTTCCGACAGCCATATTCAATTTCATTTAAGGGGGAAAAAGTCAAGAAATTTCAATGAAATTCCCGATTTTTTAGCAGCAACAAGCCAAGAATTCCCCAATTTACCTAAATTTTCCATCAATCGAAAATTTAAGAATATTTTTCTGCAACTGAACTGCAATTCTTTGAAATTTACAATGCCAAAATTCCTTGAAATTTCAATTGTTCAAGAGTGAATTAAACCATGTCCACTGAACCAAATATAATTTCATAAATTTCCATAAAAATTCCAAACAAAGACTTTCATTAGATTGAGAACCCATTACCGATGATATCCACTAATTGCAAATCTCATGCGAGAGCTAACGAAACCTCCAGTAACACGTGTAACCATTATCAAGGCTATTTCCTCGGTTGAAACACATCTGTGGGAATGAGAAAAACGTTGTGACGATGCGCGCACGCAAGAGTTGGCCATTTTCATTGGGGGTTATAAACTGTACGTGCTTGGCGTCAATTTAATCCCAGCTATAGCCGAGCTGTGCACACGTTCGTCAAACCTGTGTGCGGCCACGGACCACTAGAAACTTACCGGCTAGGGACCACGGTGCCCTTCCCCTCTATTCTCCACACTCTCTTTTTACCCCCCCAATGTGCCCCACCTCGCTCTTTTCCCCCCTCGAGGGTTTCTCGTTGAGTATCGATCTGCCACGACTGACGCTCGAGATACAGAGAGAGAGAGAGAAAAAGAGAGAGAAAGAGAGAGAGGGAGAGAGAGAGAGAGAGAGAGAGGCCGTCGGTATAATCTCTCACACAGTCCATGAGTTGGTTATATGGATGTATATAAATATATACATCGAGCAGCCACCATTTTCCATTAGTCACTGAGGATCAACCCTCCACGCGTGGACAAACGTCGGCGAGGTTTTTCCATGAATTTTGGTTTAACGTATAAATATCAGGGGTGTTTGGACTGTTTGGGGCTGATGAGGCACTCGAGAAAGATTCCTTCATTCTTTTGAAGTTTTGTAATCGTTAAAATCGAAGATTTGAATTTTTTACGTTGTATCATCCCACTGTTATCGAAAAAATCAACAATGCAACTTTTAGACTCTATCTATTCATATGTGTGTCATCAAGTTTTTCTTCAAATGTTCGCCAACGAATCGATGGTATTTTAATCTTCCTCTCCCTCCCACAATCTCATTATCAACGTGCGCCCACGTATAAATGCAAACTCATTGGATAACGATTTTCCAAAGGCGCGTTAAAGCTCCTTTCACAATCGCGTGACGAGGTAAAGCTAATTGGATACAATCGCAAGTCCCAGCCACCTCGACGAATTTATTGATGAATAACTCACTCGTGAATAACTTGAGGACCGCAGAGTGAAATTTCTTTATTTATACAAATCGCATTGATGATCCGTTTCACCCCGTTCCCCTGTTGAGTTGAATATTTCAATAGAAATGCGTAAGAAGACGTTATTTATAATGACGATTATTACAGTCTTGGTCGATACATTTCCTCTGAGCCCATCATATCACCCCACCTCTCCCATAAACGCACGATTAATTCAGTAGTGAAGTGGTAAACCGGTATAAGTCAATTTTGCCTAATGCCCAGTTTTCAATAAATATCTCAAAATCTAAGGGAAATAGCAAAATTTTTGTTGTAACCTTTTTTGTAGAGCAAATTGAGAGCTACAAAAAAGGAAATTACAACAATTTCGCTATTTCCCTTAGATTCCGAGATATTTATTGAAAACTGGCCAATAGTCAAAATCGACTTATACCGGTTTACCACTTCGCTACTGAATTGTCTTCTCCAGGGTGATGACATGAATAATTCTCCAGCATCAAGAATGACCCCCCAGCACTGCTTATTTTCCTTCAGATAACCGAGACCCCCGACTTTGAATAACACACGCAGTAGAGTTTGACAATAAATATAAAACGCACCCTTGAAATAAATCGGTACGCGTCACGATGCTCGGGGTTTTCCAGCGCGAAGCAAATGCTCTCTCTTAAATAAGTCAGGGCGGCACCCCAGGCCAAGCGATCGATGACCAAGCGACTGTAGCTCACCAACATATCACTCTGACGTTGGGAAGTTACGGGTTGTTCCATGCAAGACAAACAGAGAACGGGCAAATAGTGCCTAGGCGATGCTATCATCTCATTATCGATGAATACTCACTCCTACTTGACAATTTCTTGGATTGAAAGCTCGATGCAACCTTGCAGATACACTATATCAAAGTAATTGCAGTCTGAAGATCGGTATCATCATCAGAATGCTAAACAAGTTGATCTTCATGAGATTGGCATTGAAAATCCCAATTTCTAATCATCGATTCCGTTGATCTGAAAGACCCGGTGGGAAGTGATGGGGAAAATATGAATATCTGGTGTGCTGGACGTGTTTGTCCATTGGCACATTGACATTATTATGTCATTATCGATGAATTGCAGATACACTGTCCAAAGTAATTGCGTCCGAAGATTGCTATCATCATCAGGATCCTAGACGAGTTGATCTCTACGAGATTAACATTAAAAATTTCAATTTCTAGTCATCAATTTGCTCGATCCGATGGATCCAGTGGGAATAAAATATGAATATCTGGGGTATTGAACAAAAGAACTCACGTGACTCAAAGAAATATCACTATCTGCAACAAAGGCTCTCCCCTCGATTGAATATTCTCTTCCATTAAACGCAACCACAGGTACGGCCACCATATCATTGCCCAT